CGGTAGTTAGGAACGAAATACATATATCAATCTCAATTTAACGCTTTCTCTGTTCCTTGTACACATAATGCACGATATATCAAGTCCATGGACGTTCAAGAAAAAATTTGCAACTTCTACACTAAACTTCTAACTCGATTTTCGATTTACGACTTTAACTCTAATTCAAAGAAAATACATAAATGCATCGATTTAAAAAAAAAAGAAAAAAAAAAAAAAAAAAAAAAAAAAAAAAAAAAAAAAAAAAAAAAAAAAAAAAAAAGAATTGTACTGTAAGATGAAGGTGGTTTTGATTTTTTTATTAAATATAACGTTTTTTACTAATTTTTATTATTGCAATTTGTTGTCACATGATAATCGATTAACTTTTGTTGGAAACATTTTTTTATAATCTTAGCAAAAGTGTATAGAATAGAAAAAAGATTGGAGAGTTACTTTTTGACACCCTTCTTACAACTGAAATCAAAATTGATAAAGATGTAACATAAGAAATTAAGACCACTTGTTAATATTTAGAAAAAATTAGTTGCGAGTTTTAAAGGTCTTGTAATACTAAAAATCATTTGTAAAAAAATCAATTAATCGGACAATTTGAAACATTGTTTCTGACAAGAAATTAAAAAATTTAGTAAAAATTATGGGTATTGTTAAAATCTACGTATTTTTATTAACATTTTGAGATATAATAATTTGTGAGTCATATACTTCAATTTTTCTATTTTTGTTCATTGCATCACATAGTGTGCATTATGAGCTATGAAATCCAAGTAATGTTGCTAACGCGATTGTCGGATTTCGGGTTTACGCGTTTTGATACAGGCAGATCCAGAAAAGTGGTTCATAACGTATATTCTTCTGCATTATTTAGTTTTGCTCACATGTCCTTAAAACACTAAACGTATACTCCCAGGTTGGGAACCGCTGGTCTAAAAGGACGAACGAAACTGTGAACTACCGATGAAAAAGATATGCAGCTTTTAAAGATTTATTATAATAACAATGAACACTTTGAACGAATTATATTTGGATGTTATATAAAATTGACAAAAGGAATGTATGTTTTTAAACAGCGTGATTAAAATTGTTTTATAATAATTGTACTTCAAATGAGTATTACAGTAATATTTTATTGAGGTTATATCATATATTTTCAAATTTTGATTATAAAATTGAGTCTTAAACCCGAAATATATAAATTTTAATCATTTTCAAGATTTATTACTATTATGATAGATACTACTTTTTTATGAGATTTCTTTTCTAACTCACATTATGTAATTTCTGTTTTCATTTTTATCTGTGGACATAAGTCAATTCTTTTATTGAATTAGCAGTGTTTGTGGTATATTTACTGAAATATTGAACGAATATTCCTATATAAATTATAATATCTGTATTATCATTAATTGATAATTAATAACCTGTATTATTATTTGTAGTATTTTTATCTAAATATATATAAAGTAATTCTAAAAAAATATAACAATATAATGATTGCAATGATTATTTTAAAAATAATAATTGAAATAGTACATTAAATTGCATTGTAAAATGTAATATAGAAATTGTAAAATTAGAATACATGTAGTGCTCATGAAACACTAGAATTACCCAAAAAGGATTTAAATGACTTGTTCAAGATATGTTACTTTTACAATTTATAAAAGCATATAGCTGCTTTTAACAAAATTAATGTTGACTTGTATATAGTTATTTGCCTTCATCGTACCACTATATGACTTACATATAATACATTTACTCGTTATAGTTCTAGTGTTAATTTCAGAATTTCTGACACTATTATTTATTTGTATACACATATGTCATTTACGTAAATTTGTTTTAATTTTATGCATTCTATAAAGATAGAAATTAAAACAAATTATGTTACAACTCTAAAGTTCTTGTCTTCTAGTATTGGTACTTATTTCACTTTTTAGGTTTAATTTTTCATTCATGCTTAAGAGATGCGTTATACATATACTTTCAACATAATATCTTTCTGAAATATTACAAGAACCAGTTTAAATCTGCAAGTCCAAGGATATATTATTTGCTAAGACCAAATAAAAAATATGTAATTAACGTGCACTTTAGAATTAACCTTTTTTGTAAAAAAAATATTGTTTTATATTATCACCTAAATCATTATCATGTTTTTGAGTCTTTTGAGTAATGAACTCTCTGAAACTATAAATACTGTTTACTAATGACAAGCAGAACTTGTTCGCATATTGTGTGCCGTACATATATGGTATACCTATAAAGCATACATTATAACCTCTTTTCTGCCGTGACACGATTGTTGTTCGTGTGACGCTTTAGTCGGGGTATAGTATCACTCAAAAGTTTGGTATCACTCTTTTATTGGGGGCCTTTTCAAGAGAAAAAAATATGGATGCATCTTTAAGCATTTACATGTGTATTTTAAATACATATATACGACTATAATAAAAACGTTAGGTTACAATTCTTAGCTTATATTTATGTAAAATGTTTGCACAATTTGGTTAATTATTTAGCTTTATATTTAATCTTATATATTTAAAAATTATATGATAGAAAATAAATTATTTCATAAGGAAATAGTATTTGTAGCATTTATAGCATTAACACAACTTCAGTGGTTCATATATTTATTAATTTATTTATTATTCTTCATACGCCATATTTTGTTAATTCTAATTACAAGCAACCAATTCCATGTAAAAGTTCTTCTTGGCAGCTTTTATTGATATTATTCTGTAGAAAAATCGCATAACCTGCTTAAAGTGTTCAAATTAAACAAAAATAGTGGGAAAATAAGAGTATTTGCAAAACTAAGAGACAAAAATGATATATAAAAGGAAAAGATGTTAATAAATCTATTAAAGATGAAAAAAATAGTAGATCTATTTTTTACTTTTTTCTTTCGAAGAGTAAAAACATGAAAACATTGATTCCGGACATATGAAAGATACCATATGTTTTCACATATATATTTATAATAGAATATCCCTCAGTGTCATCACGAGAGAAAAATTCAACAAAAATTCCTTCAATATGACATATATTCCACATTTAATATCGTTAATCCTTTCATTTGGCGAACTAACGTTTACTAATATTTACCCTGGATCTTCGGATACAATATCTCAGACCGTAATAAAAAGGCATGCAAGATATCTTGTCCAAAGTATTGCATAAACACATCGTGTCTCAAAATTCATGGAAACAAAAGACTTATATGTTGAACTCGTCTACCTTTATGACCTTGAAATATGTGGCAAAGAGTATATTTTTATCAATTTCTTTCTATACAAACAGTGATTATACTTAGTTTCTGAGATACTGGGAAAAATCTGTTGGTATTATTGCATTGAATTTTGTCTATACCTATACGTCCTTGAGATACTCGGGCACAGCTGGTTCGTGTAATCGGATCCACCTACTAGTGAACGTGGTAGTGTGTCTATGACTGAGTATTATAGCCCAAGGCTAAAGCTCACATGCATAATTAGGCATTAGCTAATACTGCGTAAACCAAACTGAATCCACCCCTATAGCAACTGCCAGGGGTTAACGAATGGAATAATCAGTCTATCGGTTGGAGTGCAGATGACATAACCTAACTCCATTACCTGCTAGAAATTTTAATATGGATATATGTTAGATACCGTCTATGATCGTCTCATGGGTACACATCTATGAAGCAACTTCAATATATATACTGAAAGATTCTCGTTAATATCGTGGAAACTAAGGCAGATTAGCTCTATATCTGTAGGAAAATATAGCTCAAAATTGTGCACTTTGCAACATATTATGAGCTCATTGGACTAGGTGAAGAGTCTCATAGTGCAGTGGTTCTCAAGCTGTTTTAGGCATGGAACCAAATTCAATTAAGGATATTAAATAGAATCTCAACATTTTACTCGTGTTAACTCTCTTTTTCATCAGACTATTTTGACACTCTATAGAAATTGAGAGCAAATATCAATTCACATTATCGGCTATTCGATATTCGGTGACGGTTACTATTTAGGGAGAAAATTCGTTTTAGCCTCGTTTGTATAAATAGATTTCTATGAACAATGCCAAAATTTCATTAATATCTCAAAAACTACTAAATTTCCGAAATTACAATAATAATATTTCACATTTAGAACCGGCCTATAAAATAATATTTTACATTTAGAACTTACCTGTAAAATAATATTTTAGAACTTACACACCTACACCTACACATGGACGCGGCGGTGCCGATCTATGATGTGAGCTTTTTGTATTAGAGAACAACTTTAAAAGTTCATTAAATTAAGTTTTGCTTATTTTCATAGTAACTTGCTACAAAATTTTTTATATCGGCTCGCGGAACCCTTATAGAAATGAAACAATAAGACGTAATAGAGTATTGACGAGTTAACTACTTAAACTACTGCTAGGATACATTTCTTTCATCTCAAAAATATTTTCATCGTCCAGATTGATAACATTTTGTGGTACAAAGATTTACACTAGAACCACTCGTGTGGCATGTAGCTAGATATACTATACACAAAAGATGCTAATCGGAGTGGCATGCTGAAGATAAACAGACATATATATAATCGCGATTTCATTCGAGTAAAGGTCAACCTGAATTTTATCAAAAGCACATGACTTCAGTAATTAGTATCCAAAATAAAGTATCCAAAATCTGTCGTTTCGAATTGATATGGTATTTTTAACATCAAACAATAAACAACTTCTATCGTCTGTCCACTTTTACTCGCCAGCAGTATTTATCCGAATAAAGTCAATATTAATTTCGTGAAAAGCAACTTTTCCATTAGAAAACTGAAATATGTGAAAACTGTCCATTTCATTGGTCCTATAATTCTAGTGTCATTCATCTTGGAATCGTCCCATATGTACATGTCAATCACAGTTTAATTACAGTCTGATTTATATTACAGTATAATCAAAGCATTGGTGTTTTTTTTTCTTTTTTTTGGTTCTGTTTACCGCTGCAAATACAGGTAAGTCGTTTACGAGAAAGGAGCACTTCACGAACCACATAATGTGGCACACGGGTGAGACGCCGCACCGCTGTGATTTCTGCTCGAAGACATTCACTCGAAAGGAGCATCTTTTGAACCACGTTCGCCAGCACACGGGTGAGTCTCCACACCGATGCGGCTTCTGCTCCAAATCGTTCACCAGAAAGGAACACCTTGTTAACCACATCCGCCAACACACAGGTGAGAGCGGTTGGCAGATGTCCACTTCACGGACAATCGATTGTAATATTTGTCTCTAAGAGTAGTATTTTTATACGTGGCTAGAAAAATCATGTTTAGTTAAGAAACACGAATTAGGTACTGTCCATCACCGAGTCCACCATGTTCATGTAACGTTTCATGTAACACAACATAAACCAAGAATCGTTGCGAAAATTCGTTCAAGTCAGAATCGATCATTGTCTCATGTTTGTTATGTCGAAAACGATCGTTCAAGAGCATCTTGCCTTCGAACACGTACACACGATGTCATTGGGTTTTTGCTTCTACCCAATGTTTAACTATGATTTGCAACTTGCATGCGAAAAAGACAAGACATACGAGTATATATTTCTTCTCTAATTTTTTTTTTTCCTTTTTTTTTTCTTTTTGCTTTTCGTATTTCATTTTTGTATATTTAATAGAATTTTGTTTATAATGATATACCAGGGGATAATGCATTCACCGTTCGTGCATAACAATTCACATTGTGTCTAACTAGCAATTAGCTTAACCGATCACAATTATCCCATTTCATCATTGGATCCCATAGAGACATTTACTGTTCTGCCTAATACACCGCTCTCATACATGCTTTTTATTAACTATTTCAGAGCCTCTTCGCTAAACGAAACGTTCTCATAATGCCTTCGCGTTATAGAGACGTTTTTTTTAGTCGGCTTATTGTCGCTCTTTTTTCTTTTTTTTTTCTTTTTTTTTCTTTTTTTTCTCGTTTTTTTGTATTTTTTTTTGTTTTTTACTTTTTTGTGTCTTTTTTTATTATTATTTTGTCTTGAAGATTTGTACATATTTCCATTCTCATTTTCATTTCATTTCGTAGGTGGCAAAATTCGTTAACGAGATTTACTTTAATGTGAAAAATTGTTATAGTCATAGCATAGAGGTTTATACTTTTTTTCTTTTTTTTTTTTTTTTTTTTTTTTTTTCTTTTTTTTTTCCTCCACTTATTTTTGTTTCTTTCGATGGTTGTTCTTAAAAAGAATATGTTTTTTAGCGTTCGGGATTATAACGTCTTCTTTGAATATTTACCGTTGTACCAAATAATATTTCATCGATGTAACGTAAGGAAATGACAATATCGACGGTTGATTTTTCACAATTATCACTATAAAAGTAACTAAAATTTAGTTGTCGCAGACATTCAATGTATGTTTTATGTACTTTTCATTCCCGATACGGCAACACTGCATTTTTGAATATTCAAATAGTAACAAATATTATTCCGTGCATTGTATGTTACAATTCGCATATTCTATTAAACTTCTAGAAAAAAATTGGTGAACTTGAGAATTTGACAATTTAACAAAAATCACTAGATGAAAAAGTAACTAGAAAATACAGGGTGACTCGCTCGTTAGTCGACTCAAAGTACCATACAAGCAGGAATCCTTAACACTCGAAACTTTACAGCTCACACGTACACGCACACATTCGTCACGTTATCGTGCAAGGACACAGGAGTCGTGCTGCAGGCTTTAATACTGCCTTTGAGTACACTAGCGAACGTACCACCCTGTAAACACACGAAGATCCAAAATCCGTGATGGTAAAGTAGCATTTTTAATATGCATCTGGTCCGTACGTTGCATCGGGGAAAATCGATCGAAAGAAAATCGAACCGCGTGAAATTCTAATTAGAGAAGTAAAAATCGCGAAATCGTTGGTTGATGTTGCGCAGGAGAGACGCCCTTCCGCTGTCAGTACTGTCCGAAAGCATTTACGCGGAAGGATCATCTGGTGAACCATGTCAGGCAACACACGGGTGAGTCACCGCACAAGTGCCAGTATTGCACCAAATCCTTCACGAGGAAGGAACATTTGACAAATCACGTGCGTCAACACACAGGCGAATCGCCACACCGATGCCACTTCTGCTCCAAGTCATTTACTCGTAAGGAGCATTTGACGAATCATGTACGAATCCATACCGGCGAATCACCGCATAGGTGTGAATTCTGTCAGAGAACGTTCACCAGGAAAGAACATCTAAATAATCATCTCCGTCAACATACCGGAGATTCATCGCACTGTTGCAACGTGTGCTCTAAACCGTTTACAAGAAAGGTGGGTTGAAGTTATAAATATGTTTATTTTAGGTGGATAGTATGAAGAGATGTATAGAGATATGCAGGAAATGTCACGAGATTTATGGATAAGGTCAATGTTTAACCCTTTCGCTGTTTAATAAAGTCGAGGTATGTGGTCACAAAAATCTTCCAATTTTCTTCATTTATGGATAAAGAAATATAACTTATCTGTATTTTTATATTACAAGATAGTGTGATCTTGGATGATCCAAGTCGGATCCTTGACCGTATAATGTACGGGCAGAACAACGAAAGGGTTAATATATGAAAGTTGTGACGTAATCAAGACTGAAACAATGGTGGATAATTGGACTATACTTATGTACATTTGAAACGATACAAGTGAAGAATTCGTAATACAAGCATGGATAATATAAGACGCTTATACGCCAAATTAACTAACTACTTAAAATGAACAGTAGATTTTAAGAAGAAATTTATTTTGACACATTGTACACGCTGGTCACGTAATATTTCATGAGCCCCCGGTTGCTATACATAGTTTTAAAACTACTAGTTGTCATTTCTTTTTTATTTAGTATTAATTTTAACATTTAGTACACATATAACACAGTTTTTTAAAATATGTACTACTTATTAAGAAAGTGCAGTAGCTCTTTACTTCGAATTCAACGTTGTTTCATATTCTGACATAGAAAGTATAGCATTTCACACAAAATAATGAAATTGGCTGTAAATTATTTGAAACGTCAATATTTATAAAAAGAAAAATGTACCTCTCGAAACCATGCAACTTTGTATAAATCATTTTTTCGTGCAACACATACTTTTGAAATTATAGAGATATGCATGTTGCATAGTTGCATATATATAGATATATCACCCCATATATGAAAACAAAATTTGTTCCTAGTAACAGCTAAAATTAAGCGATGTATAATGTGTTAAATATGAAACGTATTAATCAAGTGTTTTAGTACTGAAATTTTCAAAAATTTAAAAAGTAATGTTAATCCTTTTGATAGATAAACGGTATTTTAGTAGTTCTACTAACTGATTTAGTAGTTCTAGTATTTAAAAAACGATAACACGTTTACTATTCAACCTAATTTTTTCATTTTAATGGAAAATGCACATTAAACTATGGTACCTGAAATCTGTAGCAAAAAAAAAGTTTCAAGACTATATCAATAAAATTGAAAAATAATTCAATGACATATACAATATTTATGGCATATATATTACAAACATAAATCATCAATGGATTACACAAGTACTTATTTGCAATGTATAATAAGTGAAAACATCATTAATTGAAAATTGAAGTGTTTCAATATCTTGTTAATCCACCTTCTGCTGCTATGACAGTCTAAGATAATTTTCCATTCCATAACTTGTATTTCTGATCAATATCTATAAAACATATTTCAAATATCATATATATATATATATATATATATAGTCTTAAGATTCGTTTCTTCCTGTACACAATAGTTTCAAACAGTTTGGTTTAACCTAAATATTCAATTCTTTAAACATAACAAATGTAAGTGTATAAATATATGTTTCAATGTGAAGTTATATGTATTGTTATATACATATGATTTTAAGGAAAATTGCGTTCATCCTCATTATTTGAGAATTATGTATCGAGACACGTCTATTCGATGTAATATTTATAACATTCATATGATATTCAGTTGAATTTCTTGACAAGGCGATATTGAAAAAGTGTTAAATTTTTTGTTACAGGAACATCTTGTAAATCATATGCGATGTCATACTGGTGAACGTCCATTTGTATGCACAGAATGTGGCAAAAGCTTCCCATTGAAGGGTAACCTACTTTTCCACATGCGTTCGCACAATAAAGGCAATAATGCTGAGAGACCGTTCCGTTGCGACCTATGCCCAAAAGACTTTATGTGCAAAGGGCACTTAGTGTCTCACAGACGGTCGCACTCGGACGAACGACCACACAGCTGTCCAGATTGCGGGAAAACGTTCGTTGAGAAGGGCAATATGCTCAGACATTTGAGAAAACACGCGGCAGAAGGGCCGCCAACGCAAGTTAGTACGCCCTCTGCAATTCCTCAATCCGGTGTTCTGCCGATTCCGGCAGCAGCAGTTCTGGTCGGCCATCCTTTGGCGCCCCCTGCACCACCCGTAGTGCCGCAACATACCGTTGTTGTACCTACTCCTCCAGGTGTATTGACCTCCTACTAAACCAAATGAAAAGAGCAAGCATGTGAAGGAAAAAACAGAAAACGCATTTTTCATAAGAAGAAGAGATAGTGAGTGTATACATGATGAATGTTTATGTTTGTTAATCAAAGAAAGTGCGCCGTTGAGTTTTTTTTTCTCGTTCGTCTGCTCTATTTTCGAAGAGGAAGAAGAGAAAGACTGTTGAAACTCGCAATTTCTACGGGCACGAAAGTGAGTTGATTGATAAAGTGTTGTTATGCGATAGAAAGATCGTTGTGAATCGTAACTACAGCGCCCCATTATTCTCGTTTCAAACGTTCTTATCGCAATGCTCGTACAGAAAAAAACGAGAGAAGTTTATGTAAACTTCATAAGTTTTGAACAGTTGAACGTGCTGCTATGAACGATAGCAGTGTATTATCCAAAGTTTGAATTTCTTTGTTTCTGTTTCTATTCTTCTTCTTTTTTCTTTTTTTTATGATAACTTTAATAGATCGTTTACGAAGAGGAAGAATAATCGATATGTGTTATCGAGTTCCGCGAGATTCCGGGTCTCTGCGATTTGATGATGGGCACACGTAACTTTGCTATTAATTCGATTACGATTAGAGATTAACTGCGGTAACGATATGACGCTGTATTAGTTTTATACAATAATTTCGTGTAAAGAGAGAAATAAAAATGAAAGAGTAACGAAATTAATGTATTTGCTAATTGAAAGAAACAAAATTCAGCGTGATATAACGTAAATGCGATATACCTCTGAGATAATGGTATAATCGTAATTTAAGAAATTTATCGGATAGTTTGCTTCGAGTACAAAGTGTATTTTTAATTCGAATTACGTGCGTTTTCCTACACTTTATTTTCAGTTAAGTGTATCACATATTTTATCAAATTTGACCATTCAAACTGATCGATATGAAAAAGATTCTTTGTTTCGAATGTAAAAGTAACTATTTGCACCTGTCACGTTGTTCAGCATTATAAAATTCTTACGTCGAAATACATTTTGTGCTGTCACTCACATAACGAAAAACAATGAAGTATTTTCGTTGGATTCGGAGTAATATTTTTAATTATCAACATTTTGAATGTAGAAAAAGTACTAAGAATTTTCATTCATGTACTCCGAAATTTTTTGTTCTCTTCTTTTTTCTTCTTTTTCTCTCGGGAAAAGAAAAAACGGCATGAGTTTGCTTTTTTTATATACTTGGCATTAGGGGTAAAGAAAAATTTCTATATAAAATCTAATATTCTAAGAGTAAATATACATTTTATTATTTCTGTAAAAGAAATTCTGCGTAAACGTGACTGAGAAAGATACTATATATTTAATAATCGATCACTTTGATTTAGTTAGATATTTACGTTTACTTTAATTGGCGTGTAGTTTACTTTACTGCGAGAAATTATATTTAAAAAAAAACGATTTATATTTTACTAATACAGACCCGGATGTCGAATACAGATTCGTTTCAGTTGTCCGGTTAGCTATAGTTATTGTTTCTCTTTTGTTTTATTTTTTACTTTTCTTTTTGTTTAATCTAATTATTATAATTGAGTGCAATATAATTTTGCCGATTTCACTTAAGCGTTCATCCGCAGCGAGTACCACTGTTACTACACCAGATCTTAAATGAAAAAAGAAAGTAAAAAAAAAAAAGATAAGAAACGAACAGGCGATAGCAATTCAATACTTTTATGTATAGTATGGGGACAATTTTGGATTATTTTGATTTGTAAAATTAATTTTAAACGATTAATGATGTTTACGTCTTGTCTAGTTTGACGGAAAAAAATATTATTGACTCTAGCGATCTTGTAAGGCCATGTATTTCGTATTTACGATTAAGAGTAAAAGATAAAAGTATCGTAAGCTTGGTTCTGCGACAACGTTGTTTAGTGCTATGTTACCTCAGTATGCATCGCGTATTTAAAATAGCATTTGGCACCAATACGTATGTTCAATTTATAAAACACAAAACATGAAAAAGGTAAAAAAGAAAATTCACAGTTGCATGTTAACGATTGTCACATTACCAAGCTTACCTTAATTATGTATAATATTATAATAATAACAACTATTGAATATAGACACGAGAAAGATGATAAATTTATTAACGCGCGTGCATGCATCACATGGAGTTTCGTGTACGATATTGTTCGTCACTCCGTAGAAGTCTAGATTAATATATTACGATAAATATATCTAAGTATATCCAAACAGTTAGATATCACGTACTATTTAAAAAAGAAAGAAAGAGATAAGGAGGGAAAAATTAATTAATACCGCAGGGTCACTTTACAAGTGACACAGATGTATGTCACATACGGAGCGCAAAATTTTCACATTATATTCGTAGAGAAAGAGAAAGCGATATATAGAGAAAACAAGAAATGAAATAAGAAGAAAACATGCAAAGTTCGTGCAAAGATACATCTAGAGAGGAAAAACAAATATATATGTATAATATATATTGCTCACGCTTATATACATTATGTATATATATATTGTACACGACGTGAAAATGAGAAAAAAAAAGAAAAGAAAACTATGATGCCGTACCGGAGACACTTGATGCAAGTAATATTTCCGACGATACGTGTAAAGAATTCCTCTGCAATTTATTCGTGGCATCGCTCCTTGTAATTTGCTAAAAAGTCTAACAAGGAATAAATAGAAATAATGTTTATATGAATTATTATTATTATTATCTTATTATTATTATTGATAATATTATATGTTACGAGAATAAAATTAAGAGTTGGTTCATGCTTTTAAGAGATTTAGTTTCGTGCTTGTTTTAAAAAACAGCAAGCAAATATCAAATCCAACCGTTCTTTTTGAATCGAAGCGACTTTATAGAAGATATTAAAGTAAAACACAGTAAAATACTAGATGCTGTTTTACTTTTTCACTGATAATTGCAACCCATGTTCCGTGTATAAATTTAATCAAATTTCCACTTGAATAATTTCGTCTTTTCTAAGAGTAATAGAAGTCACTTAAACAGATACGCTTCGGTTCAAAGCGAAACACGATGGTGAAGGAAAAAATTCAAAATATGATTTACTTTAGATAGAATGAAATATGTATAGAATTTTATTATGCACCATTGTAATATTATGTATCCCAGTTGTGACACAATATACACTGGTGTTATGTTAAATGTGAACACTACGTATCCTGTCTTACATGTAATGATTTCCCATGCTTTAATTCTATTTTGAATAAACCTTTTTAGCATAAACTAACGATTTCGTGAAAATAAGCATACATAAATCAGTCAGCAGTAGTTTTAAAAACTTTATTTTTTTTTAATATTTCTTCTAATTTATATAAATCATATGTAGGAGGTTACCGCCTATGACAGTACCTTTCGTGTGGGTATGACTGTAGAGTGCATGGGAAAGATTGGGCCGCTCCTCGAAAGCAAGTAATAATAAATGGCGTCCTTGGATTCAGCTTAGGCGTTTAGGCTGTTATCTGGCGTGCGTACAGAAGGACAAGTGACCGCGTGCAAGGATCCTATCAACGGAATATTTATGGCAGTATCGAGTGTAAGTGAAGAGTGAAAGCCTAGGAACGTGTATGAGTGTTTAGAATACGTGATCCACTGAGGGCGAGATTGTCAGTAGTACGTAAGAAATGCGTGATTGAAAAAGAGAGCATGAGTATGAAAGAAGACAGAGTGCAAGGACGCAGAAGGGAACAGTTTTAAGAGTTAGCCTAGAGCGAGTTGAGTCAGCGGAGAGTCATTGTGAATTAGCGCTTAGTTTAGAATAAATCATTTTTATATTTATACTATTGTTATTCTATTGCCTACCCAACATTTCTATACATATAATACAATAATAATTAATAATAATATACAGTAAATCTAACAAATGAAAATTAGCTAATTTGAAAATCGATATATTATTAGTTTTTAAATATGTAACATTGCACAAATGAAGAATTCTTTAGCCCAGTGTAAGTCACTGGGTAATTGTAAATCAAGCTTAAAGCTTCTTCATCTTTGGAAGCAAATTCATGGTTGTTCTTACGTGCTGCAACCAAATCAGTTTTAACTCGTACTAACTTGCATTGATTAGAAGAAAAAAATATACAGTAATGAAAAGATAAATATACCTTCATTAACAAAGAAATTTGCAAAATATTGTGCAGTTTTAATGGCATTTGTTCCATGTGGAATTTTTCTTCCAAGAATCCATTCGTATAAATTTTTCTCTGGATGAAATTGCACGCCGTAAAAAGGATAATTAACGTGTTCTAACGAAGAAATAAACTTAATTCCATCCTTATCGTGATTATAAGACAGTATTCGAAATTGATTATCTATACCAACTTTTTGTAACTTCTACAAAAATCACATAAATGTTATAAATTTTCAAACAAATGTAATTGCAAAGCTAATAAGTATAACAAACTTGTTTCGTAACGCAATATTGATGGAAATTTGATGTCACGTTTTTTGTTTTCAATATGTCTATAATATCAGATGATGCTTTATTAAACATCCTACCTTTTCGGAAATCTGAAATATATGAATGAAATTACTTTTTTATGTTAAAAACTTATTATTAAGAAAGGATATAAGAAAATAGCAAGCCTGGCGTAAATTCCAATGGAAGTGCTTCATTTATACTATCACAGTCTATTCTGTGCTTAGTGCGGTTGGCAACAACATACGTCAACAACTCAAATCCCAAACATATCCCAAAAATTGGAAAATAATCACCATTTTTATTCATCCTCCTCGCAATTCTGTAAATAAATAAATAAAAAAGTATAGAAAGAATTTCTCGTGTCACATAATATAAGAAATAATTAGTATAGTTATCTATAATTAAATACAAATTTTCAGTATTATTTTAAGCGACGGAAATAATTTCACATGATCTATTACTTGTAAATCAAATATCCTGCATCAGCGTATCCGTCATCGTTATCAAATAAAGTTGCTCCTCCAGGCCAGAGGACTCTATGGAAAATATTAAAGAGATAAGTACATACATACATCATAATTTGTCTTCTGAAGTTTAGTTATTCTTTTCCTTCTTACCCATTTATGTTATTTAAAATGTTTCTGTAGTACGATTCGTTTTTTCCAATCCTAAAAAAGTATTTAAAAATATTCATTTTATACAAATTTTATAAGATAACCTGATTTTAATGTTAATCTTATCATATTCAGTATATGATGAAATACTTTATACGAAAATATAATCCAAAATAAATTCCAAAAAATATCGATTTACGATATTCTAAGTTCTAAGTGAAGTAAAATGTTAACAAATTTTTGTGTCAAAATTATTATCGTTTAAATAAAATAGAAATTTCATTTTATTAGAAATTGCACTGTTTTAATTATTAAAATAATAATTTAATTTATTTCCTACTTCCTATTACAGTAATGCTCGGTTAAATTACAATGCAATTTATTCAGTTAAATTGTAATGGACCATGTCGATGGTCGATATCTTAATTCGAGACTGTCTTGCTCGATACAAAGAAAGAAGCAGATGCATTACAAAGAGAGATGTCGCTATCAAAAAAAGTGGACATGCAGTAAAGAAAATTTTACCTAAAATAAAAAATTAGGAAAATTTTTCCTAAAAATAATACCGGTACGTTTCTGAAATACTTCTGATTGAAACGAGTATAAAGACCATGTATGTTAGATCGATTTTTTGTGTTATTACATATCATTTAGCTGCCTACATCAAGTTCATGCCTATAATTAAAATTACTTTGATTTATATCGTGTTTGGACTCATTTGTTGTACAACTTTTATAAGGGCAATATATAAATTAGAAAAAATAAAATCTTTCTAATGCTGATATCTTATTAAATGTTGGATTTCGATCGTTGTTGCGCAACGTACTGTACCTATCTCGCTTCCTCTTGTTATATCCCTTCTCTTTCTTTAGCTGACAATGTTCGAATCAATTCCAAGAAAAAGAAGATACTCTGGTCGATTGAATTTCGATATTAGTTACTGAACTTCTATAACTTAACCGAGCATTACTGTTATTATTATTATTATTAGAGTTATATCCTTGTGACTATGCTTTAAAAGTTATTACTTACTTCCATAATACTAAATAATAAATTTAGCTAATTATAAATGTTAAATATAGAAATATCAATAATGTTACACACCATATTGGAACAACTCTCGCACCAGCTCCTTCAATAAATTTTACATATGATGCGGCAATATAACTATGGTAACGATCCGTTGAATAGTACTTTCTCATATTATACGACAGTTCTTGTGCTAGAACGCCTGTTAAACATAAAAACGAGTAAAATATAAAAAATTAATTTAATTAGCGACAGTACTAAATAAAATATTATTTCGATCCAACAAATAAAAGATAAAACTAAAATTGGAATAAAAGATAAAACTCGCAGTACTTTTATGTTATTGATTAAGCTAAAAAATAACATCAAAGAATAGTCGAATATTTATTACAAATCTTAAAAAATTGAAATTTAAAAAATCTTAAAATGTTCCATTTTTAAACGTGTCACACAAGAATCAGAAAAATATTAAAAACTTTTTGGTTAATCATAACTAAGTAAATATTTATGATTTTGAAAATTTTACTGCTTCAAATGCAATATTCTATAATTATATAATTTTACACTTTTTAACGTGTTTTACATCTTTGAAATTAAAATTATTAGATTATTTTTTATTGTTGAGTTTATTTTTAATTTATATTTAAATTAGTATTTTAGATAATCTATGAAGTTGAATGTTGATCGTCATCTATATTTTATGTGAATTTTGGAAGTTTTACTATCTATACTTTGTAGTGTATTTCAATCTACGATACAGTCTTTTCGTGAAAAACAAATAGTACTAATAAAAATTTCGAAAAATCTTTTCATTCGATAAAAAACGCAAGTCATCTTGACTTTCTTAAATGGCATTAAGTACTTTTGACGTTGTAGCGTTATAGCTGACGAAGAGACGAATTCAATAATTTGCTACATAATGACCTGCGAGTGATCTTTAGATTAGAAATTCGCTGTAATTGAGAAAATTATTTTCCTTGATAATTATATAATGTACATGCAACTCAGGATCAAGGATACTTCGAAAAAAAATTTATATAGTAAACATACATCTTTATCTCTTATTTACAGTACACATTAATCTATTACAATAATGTTAATACACATTCTAGGTTAAGTCCGAACTACCGAAAGATATAGGCGAGTATTAATATTTTAAACCAAAGCAAGATAAGGCTTTGTTTGGTATATGCTAAACGATACATTTGTATTTAGTTTGTTGATGATCTCAAAATGAAAGTTGTTCTTAAGGTAACAATGTTATAATTTTTTTATGTACGTTTCATTAACGCGCAGGGAAATTATTTTCTCAATTACTGTGAATTTCTAAGATAAAGGTCACTCGAAGGTCATTATGTAGCAGGTTGTCGAATTCATCTCTTCGTCAGCTATAACGCTATAACGTCAAAAATACATAGTGCCATTTAAGAAAGTCGAGGTGACTTGCATTTTTTATCCAATAAAATGATTTTTCGAAATGTTTATTATTGCAATCTGTTTTCCACGAAGAACACGTTAACTTTTATCCCAAACATTTTTTTGTCAAATTAGTGTAAGTGCCTCAAAAATCAATGCGACCGTTACGTTGAACACGCTATAGATTTAATTAAACATAGAGACAAATAAATATGTGTGTTATTTCTGTATGTTATTATAATATCAAATTTGCATTAAAGAAACAAGTATAGTTAAACATTTTACATTATATATTATGTTATACATTATTGATGTCCTTACAAACAACACGCATTTCTGATTGGCACCAAATTTTAAGATTAAGGGGGAAAGATACCTAACCTTTCTAAATCCCTATCTAAAATCTGGTATGAATTTTTATAGGATGTCCTATCTCAAATCAACTCATTTTCTTTCAACTGCATTTTAACGAATGAGCTGCGGAGAAACTTTACTCTGCCCCCTGTATTCCCTTGCCTGAAAACATAAAATCAACAAACTTATCGAATCACTACTTCTTCGCTCATTGTGATGGGCTTGAAATACGTTATAAAGCTAGAGTTTCAGATATTAATAAAAAAAAGATTACTTCTAACACATTCGTAAGAGTAGCTGCTATAAAAAATTTGCCAATAAGCAAATATCAATATTTCGTGCGATTTGATTGGCTGAGTAACTAATATGTAGGCTTCATCTGTCTGTCGCAAGAGTTAAATGCATTACTAGTATTCATTTTGTTGATACCTTGGAAACTGGGACTGATCGCGAATCTTTTCAAAGGAATACATCCTTCAAAAAATTTTAACGAACGTTCGAAGTGTCGATCTTTACGATATAATTAAAAATAATCAAAATCAGTGATGAAAAAAATTCGATGAGTTTACTAACTCTACCTAACCTAAATCTATCTAAATCTAAAAACGGTTATTTTATCTATATCTGTGTAGGCAGTTTCTATGAGTAATGTCGAAAGTTTTTCATTGATATCTTGGAGATTATTTATATTCCTAACAATAATATTTTATATTTAGCATTTACTTGTTCTTCCTCCTCCCCATTCAAAATTTGGTGTTAACACGTTCCCTGCCGCGTGGGCGCATACGCCCCACGCTGAACTTTCCGTTCAAGCCATTTAGTATTATCATTGTAAAATAAAGTATTTTTTAAAAATTCATTATACAGTCAATTGTGGCATCTTAATACTATTGCTGATGCGTTCATTTGATCATGTATACGCCCCACGCGGTGTGATGGTCACATTTTTTTACCGCAACTTGTTTTAACTGCACTTCTCGTGTTTCGATCAGTCATTTATTCGCGTGCCGTTGATACGACAATTACTGCTTCACTGAAGCTGGGATTTATTTATAGTTCAGTGTGTTTCTAAAGTAAAATAAACGAAGGAAATACGGTACGTATATAATACTATTTCAGTGTTATAGATTAGGATATTTTGCATTTAAAAATGTTTGCAATTTTTCTCTCCTTCTCTTCCTCAGACCTTTTCCAAATTTTACAATAATTACTCCTTATAAGCGGATGTTGCGGCGGCAATAATACTTGGAAGACGCGCCTAGCCGTCCTTCTTGAGGATTAACAAATTATTGGTTTGTTGTGTTATGCATCTTAAACTATACACCCTTTCCTTGATAATTATGATTTTTGCACTATTTTAATCATTGTAATGCATACGCCAGAAACAAAACAATACAACTGTAAAGCGTGGGGCACATACGTCCCACGCGGCCTGAACGGAAAATCTTCAAAAAACGGTCTGGCAGGGAATGTGTACTCTTGAGATGTGTGCTCTTTGAAAAAGCACTCTATATTATGTATTTATTTAATTGGAGTACTCACTCACTCCCATATATATGCACATAGTATATATAAAGATAGAGAAATCGATACTTACCAATAATAGGTCGATTGTTTAACCATGTGATATCTTCAAGTGAACTAAATTGCCCTGAAACAGTTATAGATTGTAAAACAATAAATGTAAATGTAATAAATGGTACAAATAGTATCGACATTGTGGTAAATAAAAAGTTTGCGAATAAAGAAACCGCCAAGTACTATCAACAATACCAAAATGAAATATTCCGTTAGAGTTCCCTACTATATAAATTGCAGACGTTATCTCCTAGTTTTGTATTCATTGACACTTCAGATGCACTTTCATCTTCGTTATCACAAAATTATAAAAAATCTGTTTAACTTGATACAAATTTGTATAGGAATATTATTACACGATTTATTACATATGTGCATAATATGTATGTCAAATAACAAACAATTAGAAATTATTATAAACAAAAATATAAATTTATATTTTGTCTATCTTAATTCAACTAACTCTTTGGTTATAATATGGCACTAAATCTCTATAGTTCTTAGTTTCAGAATTATATCTATATCATCATTGATCTTGGCCAAAATCAAATAATTTTTTCTCTCAAAATCAAAACCTAATCTAATACTTTGACATCAAATTTAAATCAAAAACAGATCAAAACTATAAGTGCCATACTCTACTATCTCGAACATTGATACTCACAAATCCTAGTATAGTTTCGTTACCAAATTTTGGTAACATTTTGGTGATAAAATTTTTGGTAACAAAATATCCCAAATTTTTCAAAAATTCGTCAGCGACAAAAATTCGTTAAAATTCAAATGTTTAAAATATTTTTTCCAAAATTTTTAGAAACGTAATTCACATTTAAGTCTAGTCTTCCGATATTAAATAATTATGATCTAAGATGAACTTCTTAAGATAAAGTTCCAAAAAGCTTCAATGATCGTTCGAGATAAAATTTGGGAGGAGTAAATTCTAAATCTAAAATTTTTTATTCGGGTATTTACTAATTTCCGAAATATTAATAACAAACTTTTCGTACAACACATTGAACTTTATGTGTCATGTACATCTGCGACAGTGGATATCCATGATATTGTGCAATGGTTAGTCATTTAGCTAATGTCTCTATAAATGCATTGTGTATGCGAGTACCCGACATTTCCGGTGCGAATCGGACCAGTTATTTTTCACGAGTTCGGGTCAAGGTCCGAAAATTTCGAATATTCAAAGTTGAAATCGGATCACAAAATTTTCGGGTACCCAAAGCTGAAATGAAAATTATAATTTTTCACGAGCTAAATATTATCCTTTTTAGTGCGTTTTCTTAGGTTTCTCACTCAACTTCCAAATTCACAGGTGTTATAGAATACTGTAATATTTATTTTCATTGTCTTTTCAATTCAAACCTAGAACATATCTATTTCGTGAATTCGCTGAAAGTTTTTACTGTTTGATTCAGAAGACAATATTTACTTCAATGGTGATTCTTCCCCAACAATAGTCCATTCAACGAGAAAAGAAAAAATATAAACAAAACGTTCACGCCGTCAGTGCGGCCGCACTACAGCGGCAGCGAATGGCAGTCAATTGATATTCAGGGACGACTTATAAAGGACCCTTGCTGTGGGTCCCCGCATGCTAATCCAGTTACTTTCTAATGGGCAGGGATTAGAAGAATATATTTCAGTCCTGTTCTGATCACGTGTTGTTCACTTGTTATGTTTACATTTCTTGCTCGTTCTCAGTTCTCAGTAATGAAATGTTTACGGAAATAGTAACTAAAAGACGATCGGAGACTGACGCATATACGTTATGAACACATACATATAAACAGAACCCAATATATAGTGCCAAAAGTTTTTTATTAATATTTTAAAAACTGTTAAATATTCGAAACTGAAATGTTAGATTTCGGCTTCATTCTCCTATTTCTTTTTTCTTCTCAAATTTCATTGCGATCGATCTTTCGAAATTACTGCACTCAAAACGATAATTCTATTCCTTTTGTTCAAATGAATCCCCTGATTTATCCTGAGACAAATTTACTAAAACGCTACGAATGAAACGTATTTCACTCTTCCTTTTTTCTCTACTTTATCATCAAAGCGCTACAGATATGATATCATATTTATTTAGTAAGAGAAAACAAAAGTGCATTGTTCTTGCAACGTACAGCAAATGCAACATTTGAAATAAGATATTAAGTTTTCATAGCAATATATCAGTGGAACACAATTCATACTAAATTAATTACATCATTTTAACACGTTTTCGTTTGTAGTGAGCATATTCATTCTGGTTTCTCTGAATTTTCATTTTTCCTCTTTTTAGGACGTATATGAAATATATTTTCTAAACTTATATCAACTTTCCTCACTTTCATATTTCATATTTTATTACATACTCTAACATATTTTAAATATACAAACATTCGTGAATAAATAATAATACTATATTAATACATACCGTGAATCAAATATAACCTTAAAAAATATATAAAATATGGCAAGTAAAATATATTAATTATGTCATTTAATGAATGTTTAATTATTTTAATATTTCAGATGCAAAATAATTGTGTTTATATTGTATTGCATTCAAATACTACGATTTTAAATATTTTTTAATCTGCACTGAAGCAGTCGTGTTTTCATATCGACTCATTATTGTTTACCATTCCACATATAGAAAATTTAACAGTAATTAAAATATCAAATCATTCAATGAACAAAAATTCATTTCAAATTTTCAAAGTCACATTACGTACATCCTTACTTGATTAAACTAAAAACAAGAAATATGTCAACGGTAATAATTATTTAATTTCTCCTGTGTTTAACGAATTGAATATTGTTTCTAATTTCTTGATAATGATGATAAATCTAATATTTTTGTCATTACATAATTTTATTCGTAATAAATAGTTTGTGTCTATTATTTGCAATGCAAATGCATTTTATTTATTTTTTATTTTCTTAATTAAAGCATATTTATCGAAGAAGCCACGAAATACAAACTAAGGGAAGTAATAAATATTTATCTATTTACTGATTCAAATTAAATACTTTCTAAGTTCACTTACTAATTACCCGGATCACTTAATGTTAAAAATATTTTTCAGGATTGGAGATCAACCTTTTCTAATCAACTTTAATTGCTCTTTTGTTACGATTTTTATTACAATATGAAAACGATTGGTCATACTAGTTTTATCAACAAAAATGAATAGAAAAAGCATAATTTGAATAAAATGAAGACTGCAAATAAGTGAGGTATTAAACAATTATAAAAGAAAATTAAATGAATTTTAGCTCGTTTATAAAATTGTATAAGTATCGATTTATTTGGAACTATTTTAAAAAATTAAACAAATAACATAATCAATGACAATTAATTAATGTACTTTTAGAAAAATTTCCTGTTCGTCCTAGATGGACAATTTTGATTAAAGTCTAGGAAAATGTTAGCAAATTGTACTTTAAAAGATACCGGCCCTGTACCAGCGTATGGTACAACGAGATACAACGGCGCGATTAATTTAAAAGAAAATATTAATCAGTACTATATCAATGCACCACGTAAAATATTCTTTGGATTTTCGTCACCATGCACGAAGATAGATAAACGGTCGAAGGATTTGGTAAATAATCAATTATTACAGCTTTCTTTCAAATATTTTTAAAGTCCTCTAAAAGTTTTAGGTTAAAAATTTAGGTTAAAATTGCAAAACTAAATCTGTGCAATTTTCATAATTTAATCTCCATTGTAAAGTAGACCTTAAATATACTGGTGAAAATTGTTTTGAGAAATTTTTTCGGGATATCTCCCAAAATTATGCCATTAGATGAAAAAATAATGTCTAACATTTGTGACCGATCTCACAATGGGAAACGTACCGTATCCAAATTTGAAGAATTTTTTATTCTTGAAAGTCGTTGTTCTTCGTTATGTTATATCGTTATAATACATTTTTGTACCTTTCTAAATTTGTCCTTTTATGCGCTATAAAAATACAGAAACAGAACAGTACAGAATAGTACAACTTTTGTCCCAAACATCTTCTTATGTATTCTCAAATAACGAAGATATTTAAATAGTTCCATCTGTATATACTTGACCCCCTAGCTCGGTAAAATAAAAACTAATTTTCAATGAAATAATCTTGTTACTCAGAATTGAATACAAACAAAGTAAACACTACAGATTTTGAAGGCACAAATACGTAAAAAAGGAGAAAAAAACTTATATTTAAAAACTTATGTTTAGGAAAATAAAAGGACAAGAGAGAAGGAAGACAATGTATGCAAAAATGTCACAAAATCCAGTGTTCTATCAGTTTGTGGACCCATGAGCAGAGAAAGCAGTCATTGTACATGTCAAGATGAAAAGTCATGTATCTGCTTGGAAAATGGACAAAAAGAATCGAAGACGTCGAGCGAAAACTCTTTATGTTATACGGATTGGAAAGAAATTTATAAGTTAACGGATACTTCTGACACGAAGTTAACAAATTCATGCGAGAGATTGCTTAATTGCATACAAAATGGCGGAGACACGAATACCTATCTCAATCTGTTTGAACCTCATCCACGGAAAGAACGACAAATAAAAGGAAAAGATTTGCCACCGTCAGGATACAATGTGACTTTAATTCTTCCTCAATGTGTCTGCTTACAAAGTAATCTATATTTCCATTTTCATTTTATTTTTCTTATATTTCCCAAAATTTATTTCCATACGAATCTTTTAAATGCAAGTTCAAACGTGTAAAAATTATAAGACAGAAATTTTACCTTTTTTCGTGAATAACACTGCGCTTATTTTTAAACAGAAAACTATTTCTTCTTTTTAATATCATGGGTATTAAAATAACATACGAAAATCGGAAATTCTTTTACGTACAAGAAACCTAACCCTAACCTAAAAATGTTCTTAAAAATTTCAAAAGTCTGTCTTTAAATTAATAAAAATTCGTTTGGAAAAGTTCAGAATGTATAAAAATTGAGTATCATAGTCACCATAACAGGATTCTACGTTCCTGGATTGATAAAAGGCTATTAAAATGAATGAACCGCAAATTGTCCTGAACCAACTATTGTAAGATCAATTTTTTTTTTTGCTCTTTGAGCTTTGGACTCAACGAGTAAATTTTACTCCTGGGGACCGGCATGGCACTTAACGTGTTAACTTTCAAACACTCGATTTCCCACTCACTATTGCCCGGAATGCACGCATTCTAACTTGCCTGTGCCCTTACACCCTTATTTAAATTCTAACACTCTCTCCTTTCATACGCAAGCTCTCTTCGTTGATCATTCATTTCCCACACGGCCTCGTTTTCGGTGGGCCAGGTACTTCAGACACTCGGACACATTCCTAAACTTTCGTTCATTGTTTACACTCGATTCATAAATCGGTCATAAATATCTCATCCATATAATCGTTGCACGCGATCATTTGTCCGTTCGCATGCACTCCAGATATCACCCTGAACGCCACTCTTAATACTATTTCCTTTGCTAGAGTCCTTCACAGCTCATAATACCACATAATTAGATATTAATTTTTAATATCATTATAGATGCTAACATATTTTTACTGTTTCTTAATATTTAAAATATATTCCATTAACAGATTATCAAAAAGATAAACAAATTCCAAACATTGCAAGCGACGAAACTATTCGTGATGAAATATGTGAAACTATAAGCGAGTTATGTATGCCTAACATCCCGGAGCTTTCATGGGATATAATGCAATCTGGAATAGTCGAAAAAATACCAGAAAAATATACAAGAAATATTTTTGAGTAAAATATCATTTTACTATAGAATGAAACATTTTTACGATGCTTTATACGAGACACATAATATTGCGTATTTTTTATGAAAATTAATTTATGTTTCAAACTGCAGGAGCGAAAACGACGATTCGGTATGTACAAATATTCAGTGTACCAAAATTCGAAATTCTCAGATAACGTACTGTTCCCATAAAGCATTCTTGGAGAAGTTAAATCAATCATATATATCAATATAATTAATGTAAATAGTTTATATCACAAACAATACAAAATTAATAATATTATTTATGTGTTATATTTTTCAGTACACGACAAAATGATAGCGCACTCTATGATTTCCAGTGTTGCTTGGGTAACTTCAAAACACAAACAACAAAGTTATATATCCAGCAAATAAAAAATCATATGATTATAAATATAATTTAATTCTACAAGCAAAGGTTAACCCTTTGGACTCGAAGATTTCTTCATTGTGAAGATGCAATTTGTAGCTTTTCTTAGATTTTTATAAGCTCACTGATACTCTTTATGCTAAAATTAAAAAAAGAAAATCATGCATTTTCGTGAGAAACGAACGAATAGAATAATTTTATTTCGATGCTCTTAATATAATTATCATCATCCATTATTTAAGTTATAGCACTAAAATAAACGGTGACTGATTGTGAGAGTCACCTCTCAAATGCAAAGGGTTAATACTATACCATGCAGTTGACAAAAATATTGAAAAAAGATTACTATCTTTAGCATATTTTTGTAAATGTAGCAAAAATCAGTATTTGTTACTTGTTTATCTCCTAAACCCAACATGATAAGCAATTTTTTCTGCCAGATTTGGATTCAACGCTTAGAAATATGTGAGAAATTCTTTTCATTCTCAGAAAACAAAAGTTCGCTAATTTATATTTTCATATGTGTGTTATTATTTCGTTGCAGACATTTTTCATATAAACTGGTGAAATTTATAGAAAAAATGGTTAATCTTTTATATTATTAAGAAATGGATACATTATAAGGATACGTATGCAATATTTGCATATATTGTATTAGTCTCAAGAAACACTGAAAATTATGATGCGTTATCAATCTGTTGATGGTGTTAGATAACTGTTTAGTCATCTATAGGTGTTTACCAATGTACATTAGATAAACTAACTTTCCCTTTTTATCCCTTGCTCATCCTCATCGCCCTATTGCTCACTCGGACCCTGACCTTCCCTGCATCATCCTCTCTTAACCTTCGATCTATAGATAACCTCCACTTATTTCCTAATTCTGATATAAATGTGGGATTGGAATAAGTACGGCCCTGGAAGAATGGCAAGTGTGTCTGGACCCAGAACGAAAGAGACCGCGCGCAAGAGGAACGATTTCAATGAATGTTAGGTTAGAGTGAAAGATTAGATATGCGTGCAGAGTGTTTGAAGTACCGCGCCCACCGAGGCTGTGTAGGAAAGAAGTATGATTGCGAAGGAAAGCCTGGGTATGGAAAAGGACAGAGTGAATGCTTAAATAAGGGTGCCAGGGCGCGGGCAGCATCAGTCCTTCACGGTCCTCGAAATAGTGTCTAGGCAGTAAAAATCACCGTACCCATAGCGGGTCCCCGGTTTCGTAGCCAATAAGTATAAGTTTATTGTATTTTAAGAAGCAGTAACACAACATTACTTTAGCCAATCCACCCACCCCGATTCTACATAAATATTGCCCATCATCCCAAATCTTAAGTTATTTCTTCCTCTAGTAGTCAGTTTGGAGTCACAGTATTAAATTGATCTGGTACGTACTCGGTTGCGTTGATACACTCATCAGAGCCGTAGCCATGCGTAATTGACACCAAAATTATCTCATTTTTTATATGTATAATATGTATATGTTTTCATGTACTTCTTTATACTAATCGCAAAATTATAAGAAATTTCTTTAAATCACTTGTAATTTGAAACAATTTCGTTATTCGATACATAAACGCGAATGACTTTTTAATATAAAGTTGCTCAAAAATAAATTCCCACCTAACTTTTAAGATGAGAGTAATCTTCTAACGTTTTTGCTTTTCGTGTAATACTTCATTTTATCCAAAAATACAAAGGAATTAAAAATGTTTTGATATGTGTATACATATACGTATAATGAAAATTTATCCTATGCGAATGCAGTTATAGTTTATAAAAAATGTTAAATTATCAAATTTATTATTAATAACAAATTGCTCAAAGCATAAATTTGCAATAAAAACGAAAAAATCAACAAATTGTTGACTATTACAGAAGACAAATTATTATTATTAACGAAATCGATAATGCTCGTAACTTTCCGTCGATCTTCGACCTATTGTCGAATATATATAGACCACGCAAGTACTTACAAGTTAGTTGCTCTTTTGCAGGTTTCTCTTCGGACCGAACGAATCTTCCCCACTGGGCGTGGTTGGTAATCCAAAGGTGGTGACTAACTGTTAACTATCAGTAGTCAGTGGTCAGTACTATATATTATATATATTATATGTATATTACATATATATTTTTTTATGTACATATATTTCTTTATTTTTCTAGTGTTGATTGATTTTCAAATACATCGTTGGACTGATCTTCGTCTTCATAATCTCTAATTTCTATTTTACCATTTTTGTTGTTTTTTCCATTCATTTCATATTCTTTTTCTTAATTATTTCGTATTAATTTCTAGTTTGTTTGTTTTCTCTTGCGATTCATTTTAGTTTGATATTTCATCGTTGGACATTGGTAGACATCGTGGAATGCACGCGCCTTAGCTTTAACTTGTTATAAGATAGATCCTATGTTTATTATGAGCGCTTTCTGTCCAAAGATACGAATCTAACATAGAGCGAAAATTTTTTCCCTTATATCCTTCCGCTTATTAGATAGAACGTAACTGTTTTCATGATCGATCGAAAGAATCGTAGGTAATTCTCCCAGATCGAGTTCAGGACTCGAGTCGAGTTACTGTCTTCCTGGATCACGCATCAGTTCGTTGGGACGTCTTTTTGGTGTATCAGTGCGAGGGTCTGTCGGCCCTGGTCGTCCTGTGCACCTGTTCACGTACACGACCAGGATACAGACCCTGTAATCTGTGACTCATGACGTGGCTACGGTCAGACCTCATGGGATGATTCCTTAATTGGTTTCTCCCCCATGCGACAGGGGTACGGAGTGTTCGTCCGGCTATTAGGCCTCCCTAGGCCCTCGAGTTTTACCCCTGAGAGTATCATCAGTTCGCTGGCCACCTTCGTTCTAGAATATTTCGTATTCAGGTTGTCAGGGAGTCAACTTATGTCGAGGAAGTTTAACTCGTTAGTTTCGACTGTGTATCGCGAATTTCATATCAATTTTTATTTGTTCACTTTTTCTATATTTTTCTTCAATTCCAATTTATATAGGAACTTAGAATTATTAAAAACTTTTGAAATGAAAAATGTTAGTGTTGCGGATGTAGAATATAATAAGATTTAGTATATCGATCTAAATTCCCTTTTATAAGACACTGACATAGTGTCAGTAGCTTTTGTTCTATATCTAGACATGAATATCTTTGGTACAGAAGGCTGCCAGTAGGGCGTTCATTGTAAGGCCACTAAGGCCAGGGTCTCTATACATAGCGACCTCCATGTAGTAAGACCTAGTAATTGATATTGTTTTCCAAAGAATAATTTGAAAAGCGATATTAAACAAAGAGCTACGCTCCAAGTTTAAGATATTTCTTACCTATTGTAAATTTTCAAAATCCCTTTTGAACTTTGTCAATTTTCTGAAATTTTAGAGAAAAATTGTATTTCTTTTTTTTTTACGTAGACTGTTAATGTTAGCTTTATTGCACTTGATACTCGGATTACGTGTAGCTACGGCACTGTTGATAACAGAGAAGCGAGCAATAGCTGCGTGGCTGTAAATCCCCGTATACACAACAATTCTTCAACAATTCTATTCCATGGTTTCGTTTTCAGAAAAGCCTATAGAATACGACGCTGTATAGCAAATTCGTGACAGATGAAGAACTTTTTGTAAAAATGTAAAAATATGCGCAGAAATTATGCTCTGAGATTTGTTTTTAAACTTTGGTGATCAATTATGCTTATCCAAAAGCACAAATAATTATAATTATGGGCATAAATAAACTTAGGATACACTCACCTAATTTGTAAGATGAACCCCTTCTTACTTTTTATGTAATACTTCACTTTAGCCAAAAAATCGTGCGCTTTTAAAAAAACTCACAATTTTCGAAAAATAAGAATGGTAGAACAATTTCGATTACGGATTCGTTTTCAGAAGAGGTAAACTCTACCAGAATCACCTATTAGATATTACAGATTAGAGAAAAAGTTAAAATTCGTTGGACAGTGTTATTAACAATTTTCAAGATATTTGTAGAAATTAATATAAATGAGATCTTTTGTGTGTATAAAAATAACTAGTTCGCAATAGTATAGTATTATTCACTCAAGCACTCATAATTTGAGAACTGAATGTTGTCATTTATTCAAAGTGTATTTTTATGAATTAGCCTACTGCTAGCTGAATTTGACTGACTTTACTATAAATACGATGAGATTAAAATACAAGGGGAGTTAGCAGAACAGACTAAAATGTTATTTTGGATAATATGAAATTTTACTTTCTATCTTACAAATTTCATATTTAGATACACTATTTTTTAGAAATTTAGAATTAGTTCAAATGTAGTCATACTTAGAATTATTTTAATCATAAGAAAAATTTTACTTTCATTATTTCAGATTTATTAATAGTGTTTTAATACTCTTTCACTCATATTCTTTCACATTTAATTTCTCGTTCGCAATTGCGATGCTAACGCTCAGAATTTCTATATGACATTCCCCCACCTCTCTCTCTTACATTTGTTATTACCGCGAAATTTAAATTAACAGGACCTACAGTTGCATACTATCAATGTAATCTATAAAAAAAGGAATTATTAAAACTAATAGCTTGCAAAACATAGATGGAATACTACTGATTCGAAGAAAACAAGTAACAATTACAACATGCAAATCACTTATAACATTTCTTTAATTTTTAACAAATTATACTAATGATTCTGTATTATTAGTTACTCACAATCTACCATTCAATATGTTTATTTAATTAGAAATTAAAGAATTTATATAATTAAAAAATATTAATTAATAAATGAATTTATAGAAACTATATATGGATTTTATGGCACATTAAAATTCTTTAGAAAAACATTTCCGAGTCATAAAGTGAGAGATATTTTAACACTTCCGATGTTAGGAAAAAATTTATTGTTAATCTATTTTGTCAATCTAAACTATATTATCAATAATTTTACCAAGTCAAAATTTTTATGAGACAACATATGACATGTTTTGTCTTATTGACTGACATTACGATTCTAAGATTAATACATAACTTACAAAAATGAAGAACTCTGTAATATTATTATTAACAGAAATTCAAAACAAGGAAGTATACATGAGAAAAAATAAGATAATTTAAAATAGAATAGTTGAGCATTTTAAAAAATACATATATTATATAATAATACTTAGTTATTAATTAGAAAATGTGACTCCGTGAAATTTCAACTAACTTTGTCTAAATTTTAGTTTCGATTTTTATTACACATTATTTTTCAATAATAAGTATATATTTAAATGTCGACTTTTCTCTGTGCTTCTTCCTGTATAACCATAAAATAGAAAGGAGAAAACAGAGAATTTTAAACAATTATATGTAGCAAACTATACGGTGAATCATACTCAAATTTAAAATACACATATCGATATCTAGAGTAACACTCACTTAATCGTCGTGTTATTATCCGTAATTGCAAATAGATGTTTCAAGAATTATTCGACTTTCTTTTCGATTACGCTTGCTAGATCATGCAAACCCAGAAAAAGAAAAATTTACTATAAATATAAGTGAAATAAAGAAATAGTCGAAGCACTTCAGAAATTAGTGGGGATGAATACATGACAATAGGCGGGTAAAATATATGGCAGTTAAGCAAATATTACTATGTACTAACTGTGTTGCAACTTTTAACAAAATCTTTATTATCATCATAAAAATATTTAATTGAATTAAATGAAGCGGTGTTTGTACAAAAATCGCGGAGAGGAGCAGCTACCTTTGGATAAATAATTTTTTTAAAAGAATATTTAAAAATCAATAAAAATAATCAACAAAAATGGTAAACACCTATTTACTTAGAAGTAATACAATTATTATTTATTTATGTAGAATTTAATAGGTTAGGTTTCACACGTGGTTATCTATCTACTTTCAATTAATATATATTATAAATATAAAGAAGAATAAATTTAATTTTTAATTTAAAACAAACATTACAATTTTTTTAATAGCTTACATTTTTTTCCATAGGCAGATGAAGTTAATCCAAAAGCATATCCTTTAGCAGATGCCACTTTAACTGCTAAAATTTTGAACTTAGTACAACAAGCAATGAATTATCAGCAACTAAGAAAAGGAGCTAATGAAGCGACAAAAACATTAAATCGTGGCTTGTCAGAATTTATTGTAATGGCTGCAGATGCCAAACCTTTGGAAATTTTGTTACATTTACCATTGTTGTGCGAAGACAAAAATGTCCCATATGTATTTGTTAGAAGTAAACAAGCTTTAGGTCGTGCTTGTGGTGTATCTAGACCTGTTGTTTCTTGTTCTGTGACAGTTAATGAGGGTTCACAATTAAAACCACAAATTCAAGCCATTCAACAAGAAATTGAACGTCTATTAGTTTGAATAAATTGTTCTTGATATAAAATTATTCTTTTTAAATTAAAATAATCAAATTATTGTTTCTCCTTTTTACATAATATTTTGAATTATTTCAAAACATTAAATTTTGTATATCTTTCATGTAGTAATAAGTTATCCTTTAAATAAACAAGTAGGAAATATTGGTTTCATTTATATCAACAGACTAAAATAAATATTTTCTACTCTCTACTAAAGTCAAATATACAGATTGTCCTAGAAAATATGTACAATCAGGCACCAAGTGGTTTTTCATAAAAATAATATAGAATAACTTTCTTTCGTTTGCAGCTTAGTCTTTGAGAAAATCAAATTTGAAAATTTGCTTTGTACATATGTACATTTACAAGATATGATTTATCGACCTACATATATCACCTATCATGTTTATAAACAATATAAAAATATTTTACCATCCTGTATAAAATTCATATTGAAATTTTCACAATTTTATTTTATTTTTATTTTTATTTTTATTTTTATCATATTATAATAGTAGAAGACAAATTTTAACAGATCTTTTGATGTAATGTATAAAAAGATGTTGAGAAATTGTTTTTGTCAAAAAAGTGTGTAATAAATAAATAAAAGTTTAATTCTCATTATTTATCAATATGATAAAATACGTTTGTAAACGTAACATGTTTGGTATCTTATTATGAATTTAACGAACTTAGGTATAAAAAATATTTCCTGTTTGTATTTTACTTCACACTGATACAAACATGCACGTATAAGTAAAATTTAATGTTTTGCCCTAAAAATTTGGTATTTCTACTTCGGAAATTATTAAATTCTCAGTGCTGAAATTTTAAACTTTGGGTTGGATTTTTTTACCCTTTTCTTCTCTCCTAATATTTTTAATTTTTGTGTAATATCTCATTTTGGTAAAAAAAGCGTGTTTTTTGAAAATTGAGAGTGATAGAGTAATTTCGTTTATGGTTTCATGTTCAAAAAGGTAAACTATATAAGAATCATCTATTATTATATTATAGATATAGATCAGAGGAAAGGTTAAAATGTGTTAGACAATGTTCAATATATAATTATATTCAAATTAATTTAACAGTATTCAAATCTTATTTAACATACAAATGTTACTCAAGTACGTCTGAAATCTAATTAAATAAAAAATAAGTTCTTAATGTTTAAATAAATTCCATGCAAATGCAATTATAACTTAAATCAAATTTAATTTAGAGCTTGATTTAAGTCATATTTTGCTACTGCTAAAAAGCAGATAAAATAACAAAACATATTTTTAAATTAAATTCTTAAACCAAAACGTATTCTAAAATAACTGAGAAGATGGAAAACAAAATTTTTTTAATAAATAAAATGTGTATTATATAAAATGAAAAATATGTACATCAATAAGGTTAATTAACTATAGATTATTAAAATAATGTAGGACAATAGAAGACCAATTACCATGCCACCGGATTTCTTGAAATTTATGCAACTCCTCTTGAAATTTTTTATTTAATTTGTGTTGAACATCATTATTAGGAAAATTTTCAAACCATGATTTTAATTGTACTGCTAGTTCCTTATCACTTGAGAAAATCATTCCATTTTCATTGTGCTTAACAAGTTCTGATAAACTGGAAAATAAAAACACTGCATAAAAAAGAACTTAAATATAAAATACAAATATTTTTATATATTTTTATAATACAAAAAGAAAAATACCAGGATCTAATTTAAATAATATGCAAAGGTACATGTAATAAAAATATTACATTCTTAGAATAGTTAAATTATAAATATTCCAAAACGTAGGTACATTTATATGTTATTAGAATTCTTATTATACATATATATATATATCGTATATATAAGAAATAATTTTTTAAAATAGTACGATGTTTATAATGAAAACATTATAAAAGTAGAAGCTTCTACCTAACTTACCATTTAAAATTATATGCACAAACAGGAAGTTTGCAACCAAACATGTCAATAATTTTCATTGGTAAATCTAATCCACTAGATGATGTATGAAGACAAATGCCTAAATCTGCACTAGCTACAAATACATTATATTATTTATATGTAAAAATATATGAATATAAAATTTTGTTAGATTTGAATACCTAGCATCTTAGGATAATCTTCACTTTCAAGCCATGGTGTCAAAACTGTAACGTGTTCCCAATTCTTTAATTTTATGATAGCAGTATAGAATTCTTTCAAAGGTCCTTTACCAGTTATTATACATATTAAATCAGGTAGATTACAAGTATTTTGTACAATTGCATTTTCATATTCTATAAAACAAAAAGTTAAAAAAATAATAAATAATTTAATATTAAATATCAATAATTATTATCATTAATATAATGTACCATACCTTGTAATGCATTTAACAATATTGAAAAGTCTTCATCTTCTGTCCAACTTGTACTAGATACAATTAAACCCAATCTTTTGGAAGGTAAGTGTATTTCATTTTCTATACATTCTGTAAATACAGTTGAGTTTTCTTTTGGACCTTTTAATATGTGATATTTCTCACTTAATTTTAATAAAAATGCATGTTTTTCTGCTAAAGATATAGGTTGAAATTGATTTCCTGGACGATCATATAAAACCTTACTTCTAAATAAGAAAGAGGTATTAAATTATTTATTCAAAGTTATAAATCATATATGAAAATATAATATATACTAATTATTATATAATATATACTAACAAAATTTGCCACTTCTTTTGTAAGTCTTCTTTCATTGCTTGAGATACACAAAAGCTATAATGTGCTTTGGAACCAAAATATATTTCAATTATTTTTGCAAATTTTACAAGGAAATGATCATCTTTTAAACTCAATGCCATAAGAGTATATGCATAATTATGCCAATCAATAATAAATTGTGAACCAACAACAATAGAATAAAACCAACAAACTGGAATTGTTGGTATTGCAGGTGGGTTCTGTATTAGTATATAACTTGGTATATGTTTATTAAACAAAACCCACAAAAGGTTAAAAGTTTGCCATATTGTTTTTATCATATAATAAAATGAACGAGACAATTCTGAAATATCAAGAATATTTTTATTTTTCAAATATATTTTTAATTGTGATTATTGTGATTTTAAACTTTTTGCAGTTTACAGAAAGGAATTATTTATTAAATAGGATAATATGAATAAACTCTAAATTTATTGTAAATATACATACGTACTATCTTCTATTTTTGGAGGCGGACGAAGATAATAAATCTGTATGCGAGAATTTTCTTTTATTTGTTTTAAAGGGGACGAACCGGGATAACCTATAAAGTCTACCGTAAAACCTTCTTTTACAAATGATATTGCATGATATTGCATTCTAGGACTTCTACCTAAATCTCCAAGAACAACAATACAAACATTCTTATGTTTTCTATGTACACTTAAATATAATTTTCCAATTATAAACAGAATTAAAGGAATTACACAAAACAAATAAATACTCCACATTTTAAAGACATGCAAGACAAGATCTTAGTTCAAAAATATGAACACTCTAGAAATCATAAATTTATTTATTTTATAATAAAATTTATTGTAATTTATTTTATAATAAAATATTATAATAAAAGAACTTGTCTTTTACATTAATGTTTGTTTTATATTAATGTTACATAAATGTTACATAAATTTACATAAATCTTTTATATAAATGGACTGCGTAAAAAGATTAAAATCAGATGATGACAAAAATATACACAATAATTAACAATCAATAATAAATACAGGGTAACAAAAATTGATAACAAAAATTTTTTAATTTCTGTGACGTATACAATACTTTTCATGCTATTTTATTATTAATTATTCTTGAAGCTGAAAATAATCTTGTTCATCTAGATGAAAATACAGTGCTTTGTTATCACAAATTTGTCACAGAATTTTTATTTACTAATTCTTACAATATTTAATGTAAAAGGTTTTAAAATTGTTTAATATATAAGTACTTTTTCAAAATTTAGTAATAAAAAAATAGATAAATATTAAAGGTAGATTGAAATAAATAATTAATCTCTAAAATTTCATACTAATATTTTATAACGTTACTTATGTTCTAAAAGCAATTCTTATGACTAAGATAATTATGACTAAGATAAAATCTTTATTAGCTTATAAAGTTAGTTGTATAGTTTTTAAAAATTATATTATTAATAATTACGAGCAAAAGTAACCAAACTAGGAAATTTAATCTTTTTAGTACTACCAACAAAATTCTGTAGTCAATGACGACAATATTATAATCAAATTTGTGTCTACAGTGTAAGTGCACATGTGTCGTGGCGCCAAAATCTTACATTATTGATGGATGAATAACAAACTTTATATTAATTATTTTTATTGTTATTTTTACTTTTTTATGTTTTTATCACATAGTAATGAAGGATGAAAAATATTACACAATATTTTGAAGATACTGTACAATCCAATAATAGCATAACCATACACTCTAGCGATGATACAAAAAAGGAAACGAAGTACAAGGAAGATTCTAAACAAAAGCGTAGTCATAAAAAAGTTAAATTATCTCAAACGAATGTAAAAGAAAAGTTATGTGATATTGTAGAAAAAAACGGTGATATGATTAATAAAACACTTAGTACACTTGCTAAAGTAAACAACGGGAATTCAAACGAAACATATATAAAATCTTTTTCAAGAGGTCTTCGAACGAATTTTAAACGCAATAAATTTATACATCAATCCTTAGATCATTTAGACTTAGAAACAAATGATTTCAATGTTAAAAATAAAAAGAGAAGTGAAAAGGATAATTTAAAAATTTGTTTAAGCAATGATGAAAGGTATAAAAAAGAATTAAGTAAAAAAACAAATATTAATAAAAATGTAAGCATAAATAATACATTGGAAAATAAAGAAATGATTGATAGTATAGAGTTAATAGATATTGATTCTAATGATAAAATTGAAAATATCCGTGAAGAATCAAATGCTTTTCAAATTCTTATGAGTCGCAACAAAACAGGTCAATGTATTTCGCCAATAAAACTTCCTCAAAAAGAAGAAATAAATATAAAAAAATCAGAAGAATGTAAAGAAAAATTAAAACACTCTAAAGAAAAACTAGTAGCTTTAGCTGATAAGAAAGGATATTCTAAAAGAAAACTTATAGAAATGGAAGAAGGAGAAAAAATAGAACAAATGATACAAAATCGTATCAAATTTTTTAAAGGAGAAGATAAGAAAGATAATAGTATAAGTACAACTGTCCTAAATCATAAACAACCAGCTGGTAGTTTACTAAATTACTTCAGGTGAGAAATTATTAATTTCTTATATTTTATTTTAATTATAAATTTCCTTTATTTTCAAAATTCTTTTTTTATTTTCATTTTACATATAATAGCAAAACTCCAGGAGATTTAATACATACAAATATGGCAAACATGTCTACTATTGTAGTAAAAGCTGATGTACATATGACAGAAAACTCCATTAAACATGAATTATATAAAACAAATTCAAGTAATAAAATACAACCAAGTAAGAAAAATAAAAAATCAGAATTCTCACAAATAGATGACATTAGAATCATAGAATCTGAAAATATTAATATTTTGAATAACAAAAAGAAGCTTCAAGATGAACAGCAACATAACAAACATAGATGGTCATTACGAATTAAACTTCAAACTTATGAAGATGAAAATGCTTCACTAGGTAATTTGAAAATAATAGAAATTATACCTCTAATTTGTTACAAATATCCTAATTTATTACATAGATTCTAATTTATTACAAAGACACATGATGAGAAAAAATTTATTTGAGTCTCCCAAATTCTGTTTTGGTTGATGGCAATGAATTTTACACTTTGATCGCTGATTCTTTTATTTTAATATTTTATTGTACATATTAGTTATATATTTGTTTTATTGCTTATTTATGTTTGAAATAGGTGAAAGCAGTGATGATGAATTGTTCTCACCAAGTACCAATAAATTAAATATAGAAAGTTATGAAAAATTTAAAGCAATAAAAAATGTGGATGTAGAAAATTTATCAATAAAAAATAACAGTAAAAGAGGAATATCAAAGCAAGTGAATGAATGCACAAAGTCAAAATTAATATCAGAAAGTTCAAAACATAATGATGCAATACATGATAGCAAATATTTAAAAAATAAACTTGAAAATAAAAAAAAATTAATCAGATTAAATCAACATGAATCAGCTTTAATAGAAAATAAAAATTTAAATAATTATAATAATACTAACATAGAAAATATTACAAGAAATAAACAAAATCAAGAAGACTGTATAATTATTCATGACAATAGCTTAGAAAGAAAGACAATTGATAAATTAGCTCCTTTGTTTACCAAACGAAAAAAACCAGATCCGAATGTAATTGCGGCACGACGATTATTTTTACAACCTGATATAACAGATAATAATAATAAAAATGCAAATCGAAAAGTAAATGTTTATGGTATACTACCATTTTCACTTATTAGTCATGTTACACAATCAAGCAATCTGTTTTCAAATGAAACTGACATTTTTAATATTCCAAAAGAAATTTGTAATGATTATAATCCAATTATAGATGTAAACAATTTTAAACATTTAATAGATCTTTCTAAAAAAAAGTTTAAAGCATTAGGAAAAGTTAATAAACCGAAGATTCAAGAAGTATTAATGGATATAGAAAAACATTGTTCAAATGTAAAAGATATGTGGAGTGTCATTTCACTTATTGTTAAGGAACAACCTAATAAAATAATACTTACTAAAACAAGAAGTAAAAAAAATAAACAATCAGAGAAAAAAGAAGGAATAGAAGATTCGTTTGAATGCTGTAGTTGGACTTATAAATATAGACCAAAAAGTTCTCAAGAAATAGTGGGAAATGAAGAAGCAGTAGCAAAATTAAAAGAATGGTTACTTGGATGGAAAGCAATATTTACAAATGAGGATGTTAGTAGTGGAGATGAATTTTATTCGTCTGATAGTAGTTCTTCAAAAATGATTGAAAATAATCAAGTAGCTGTATTATTAGGACCACATGGATGTGGTAAAACTGCGAGCGTATATGCAGTAGCAAACGAATTCGGTTATACGTTAGTATTAAGAAGTAATATTTGATTAATATGTAAAATACTTTATGTAACTTATAATAACAATAAATTTTTCTAGTGTATTAGAATTGAATGCATCATCTAGAAGAACTGGGAAAAAGCTTTTAAAAGAATTAAAAGAAGCAACTAAGTCACATCGAATTAAAAAAGACGAGAAAACATCTGCTTTCTGTAATTTAGCTTCAGATGAAATTATACTAAAGGAAATTCCACAAAATTCTCTCATTCTTATAGAAGATGTTGATATTATATTTGAAGAAGATGAGGGTTTTATTTCTGCTACATATCAATTAGCAACAAACACAAAGCGTCCAATTGTTATGACATGTAGAGACATTTGCCCTCATTTAAATAAAATGGCACCTCAACAAAACAGAATTTATTTCAAAAATGCTGATAGTAATAGAGTTTCTGCTTTAATAGAATTAATTTCACTAGCAGAAACTGGTTATAGACTTTCTTCTAATTGCATAACAGTAAGTAAACACCTATACAATAAGTAAGCAAAATTAATATTTATCATTTTAATCATTTTTTTAAGATAAAATTATAAAAAGTGATTAAAACATATAATTAATATTAAATGCAAGATTAAATACATTAGATAATATTAGATACAAGATTGTTTTTATTTACAGGAACTGTTGCAAAGTGGTGATATGCGAAAAGCTATATTACAATTACAATATTTATTGTTATCTGGTCCACCACAAATAATAGAACAAACCATAAATTTTAAAAATTCATTTTGGCAAAACATACGGCATTATGTATACAAGCCAGCAATTAAAGTAAGTAAGAAATGGAAGAAAACTACAAATAAAAAAGTAATGGATGATAAAAATATATTAATTGATGTAGCTACTAAATTAGATAATATAGCTTTATTATCATCTTTAATTGACATAGAAGATTCTGCATTAAATTTATGCCAAATAAAAACACAACCCAATTTATCGTTGATTGAAAATACTGCTCCATATTCAGCTTCTACTGATATGTGTCTAGACATAGCTGAATGGATAGGTAATAAAATTATATACAAAGATCAGTTAAATGACTATGATGGAACACAGCACCAAAATAATATTATGTTAAAAAAACAGTTAAATGAAGGATTAAATTTAGCCTTATCACAAACCACATCATTATTACTTGATCGTCAAATTATAGCTACAGATTATCTACCATCTATAAGAACAATATGTAGAGCAGAAGAATTGAGAGCTAATACAAATAATAAAAGAGGAAATCGATTCTTTCATTATCTTCATAATTTAAAAACACCATCTACATTATTCAAACCTAATATTTTAGCAGCAGCATGCAAAATAATGTATGATAAGGTCGACAATGACATGCGTATTGAGAAAAATAATACCAGTTTTATATAATAATCAATTTTTTATATTATATATGGTATAAAAATTTATAAACATGGTGCAAATATCATTTTTAAATATACAACACTCTTAAGAAATGCAACGCATGACACCTAAAAATGATAAAATGGCTGGTATTATTGAATTATATTTTATTTTTTGATCTCCTTTTTTTAAATAAAATAAAATGTAGTTTGTAGGTAATACCTACTTTTAAAATGTTAAAAAATATATTTGGATATTTTATATATTAAAAATGAAGTAAAGTAAGTATATATTATTTTGATAATAAAAATATTTTTATGTTATATAATTTTTTTCTGATACTGAAGTGTTGTATAGAATTAATGTAAAATTATATTATATATAATACCTTTGAAGTGTCTATTAAACTAATTGATTATGATGTTTTGAATCTTATGATTACATAAATAAAAGATATATTTATTACTAATCAATGTTTTTTATTCTTTTAGTATGGTTTCGATATACTATTTAAATTTTTATATGATGTAATTTGCGATTTAATTCTTCAAATTTTAGAATTTTCCGAATAAAAAAGTCACCATAGCGATGCGCCACTTTTGTGTCCGCAATATGAATCATATCATGATCGATATAAAAATCCAGCTGTAACAATACATATTATGATCTTTTACTTATGATATAGAACTAGACTAATCAATATTATAACAGATAAGAAATTACCTCTGAGCCAGATTGAAATTTTCCATCTAATCCTGATGCACCTTTTGTCCAAACAATGTTTTTCATTTTATGTTTAAAACACAATAGATGAATCGTTAGTGCACTGACTTCTTTATCTAAATCCCAGCTCTCTTCAGATCTATTACTACACATAAATGTAACTAGTTTACTCAATGGCAAAGTAGTATATAACTTTAGATATGAACGTATAGTTGGCAACATTTTTTGTTGAACAACTTCATCTTTAAAAACTTGAGTTTGATGTTTAATTGCTTCTCGAACATAGTCTTCATTTGGTTCATCTGAATTTGGTGGTGTAAGAGACAAAAATTTTGGACAAGCAAATAGAAAACATGATTCAAATTCAACTAAATCTCCATATTGCATCTTATACATTTTCTCATGATAATTTTTATCACGTAATGCTTGTTGTAATGCTTCATCTATGCATTGTGGATGAAGAACAAGGCAAATTGCTAATAAATGATACATTTGATCTGTTTGTTTATTGATTTGATCATTTTGATAATTTCTTGTTGCAAATAATTGCTTCGTTCTTTGAATATATAATAAAATACCAGAAAATGTTCTGATTGCATCTGCATATCTACGCATCATCATATAAGCAAAACCAACATAATATGCTGTTGATATTTGACAACCAGGAACATGGGAATATGCACTCTTTTTATAAAGTTCAACATTTTCTAAAATTTTAATGGCTTGATAATAATCTCCTAAAAGAGAATGTAGGCGTAACAATCCTACAAGAGAAAAATATCCAAGCATTTTATATAAAGAATGTCTCCCAAATACACCAGCCACAGAATCTGGATCTCCACCACTTGCATATACTTCTAATTGACTTTTGATTTTTGATTTATCTACTAAATAATGTAGGACATTTAAAACACATAATATATCCCATGTCTTACTATGTGCATTCAAATTCTCAATTTCTTCAGGTGTTTTATTTGACAAATTAGCACGATATTGTGTGAAAGATTGAAATTGGTAAACAAATTCGTCAATAAGCTCCCATAACCATTGATCAGGTAACTCTAATTGCACTGGTGTTTCTGGATGCAAAATATAATTAAAAAGATCGCAGTAATTATAAAAAGAACCAAGGCGTTGTTCTAATGTTGGTCCTTGCATGCGAGCGTAAATATGACGATAATAAAGTTCTTTATATAAAGTAAGGAATAGTAGATCATTATCAACTACATGTGCAATTGCTTCAGCATCTGGCCAAGAAGACTTATCAAATAACTGTTCTGAGATTTTTGGAAATGTTGTTTCATAAAGATTTTGAATCTCAAAAATCATTCCTTCATTTATACAATTTCGCAAAAATACTAAAAAATTTCGTACAACTTCTGGTACTTGACGATAACCTAATCTGTCATATTGGTCATTATGCACATCTGATCCATAATCAACGTAAGTATCATACTGAAAATAATATAAATATTAATTTTACTAAATAACATCACAATGTAAATATTTGTTTAATTAATAATTACCCTGCTATAATCGTCATACATGGTTTATCAAATTTTAGACTTGATATAAATTACAGCTTTAACGTACGTAATAATACACGAGTTACTAGATGATATGATCATAAACTAAACTAATATTATAAGATATACTTCTTTCAATTTGTACTTAAAGACAAAATTCAGCATTTATATTTAACTGCTAGATGGCGCAATCAAACAATAATCTACATTTTTTTATTCTTACAAGTATACTTATGTATTTCATTCGATAACTAGATACTTTATTTAACTACGATAAATTCTGACTAGATACTCTATTTAATTTAAATTATATATTATATATTATATATATATTATATATATTATATTATATATATTATAATGTTATTACATTAAAGACGCTCTAACAGGACTGATTGGGATTTTTTTAATTTTTTACTTCAAATTGATATAACTTTGTTATAATTTTTAAATTTGGTAAAATTTGCGTCATAGGTGAACGATCTTCACTACAATTCATTGTTTGTGGTAAATGTCTTTTTAAATACATAAGTTATTATCACGAACACCACGCATAAGTGTATGTCATTTTTGTAAATGTAAATTTGTTGTTAAGTATATAAAATGGGCATATTAGAGAAAATATCTGAAATTGAAAAAGAAATTGCTCGGACGCAAAAAAATAAAGGTTTGTGTATACCTTGGGATTACAATATTTTTTATAACCTTATATAGAAATACTTCTGTATTCGGTTATATTTTTCTAACATATGTAAAGAACTGTGAAATATTAAAGATTTGTTGCTGTAAAATGTTTTTTTTTCTAGTTGAAAATAATTTTTTTTATCAAGTACTATTATTGAAATAATTCAATTTTAACAAATCATTTTTAAACTAATTGTAATCAAATTATTGTTATTCTGTACAATATACTGATTTATTAATAAAATTTATTTCAAGAAAATATTTGTATTCTTTATTGATTACTATTTATAACTTATTATGTTTTTATTAAATTTCTTACTATCATATATGAATAAATATATATAATAAAAGATTTGACTATAAATTTAATTATTATTTGAAGAAATTATATTCATTTTATGCTAAATTTTACGTAAAATCCTTTATATGCTTTGTTCATTGTTTATTAATTTAATTGTTTAATATATTTATATTGTTAATGATTAATACAATTTATGATCTCATTAATATATTCTTTAATTAACTTAATTTATGAATTTATTTACAGCTACTGAATATCATTTAGGTTTATTAAAGGCTAAACTTGCAAAGTATAGATCACAACTTTTAGAACCACCAAAAAAATCTGAAAAAGGAGAAGGATTTGATGTATTAAAATCAGGAGATGCAAGAGTAGCTTTAATAGGTTTTCCATCTGTAGGAAAATCTACATTGTTAAGTACATTAACACATACAGAATCTGAAGCAGCATCTTATGAATTTACCACTTTAACTTGCATACCTGGTGTTATTGAATATAAAGGAGCTAATATCCAACTTCTTGATCTCCCTGGAATAATTGAAGGTGCTGCACAGGTAATTATAAAATTAAATTTTATTTAATATATTGGAAAATTTATAGTAAATATAGTGGACAGTTTATAAAATTCTTACATTTATAAACAAATATTTAAGGGTAAAGGAAGAGGTAGACAAGTAATAGCTGTTGCAAGAACAGCAGACTTAGTTCTTATGATGCTAGATGCTACTAAACAAGATGTACAAAGACAACTTTTAGAGAAAGAGCTGGAATCAGTTGGTATACGACTTAATAAGAAAAAACCAAACATATATTTTAAAATAAAAAAGGGAGGTGGATTAGCATTTAATTCAACATGTCCATTAACAAAAGTAGATGAGAAATTAGTTCACTTGATTTTACATGAATATAAAATTTTCAATGCAGAAGTTCTATTTCGTGAAGATTGTAGCGCAGATGAGTTAATTGATGTGATTAATGCCAACAGAGTATATTTACCATGTCTTTATGTACATAACAAAATAGATCAAATATCAATAGAAGAAGTGGATAGAATTGCCAGGCAGCCTAATAGTGTAGTAGTTAGGTAATATCTTTCGACATGCTCTTAAGTATTATATAAAAATATTTATTTTATAAGAAATGTTAGTACTTTCAAGCTAAAACTTATCATAAACTCTTTCACATATTTCTTACAGTTGTAATATGAAATTAAATTTGGACTTCCTTCTTGAAACATTATGGGAATATTTATCTTTAATAAGAGTTTATACAAAAAAACCTGGACAACCACCTGATTTTGAAGATGGTTTAATATTGAGAAAAGGTGTTACTGTAGAACATGTATGTCATGCAATTCATCGCACACTTACTCAACAATTTAAATATGCTCTTGTTTGGGTAAGAATAATTCATAATTTTTTTAAATGTTTATAATCTACATTCTTACAATTATTGGTTGAGGTTTCTTAATAAAAACTGGATACTTTAAATTAACTGCAGTAACTATGAGATTTTTATATGTAAGATAAATGGAAAAAATTCTATAATATTATCAGAAAAGAAATATATTGTTCTAGACCAGTGCTGTCCAAACTTTAGTTGCTAATAAAACAGACTCCACCTGTCTTTGTTATTTCGCATGTTTCATATCTCTAAATATAGAGAATTCAAATAGTAATTGATTATTTTCAGAACAGTAAAATAAAAGGATTGATCATGTTTGGTTTTAGTAGAAGAAAATGTTTTAATAACCAAACATAACATGTGCTAAGTCGCTTGAATATAAAATAAGGAAATGTGGAATACGTACAAGGGAAAAATGTGTGACTTGCTCCACTATTTTAGAATATTAGTATAGAGGAAGATAAAACCTTGTAAAAGACCCCATCTGTAGACAGCACTGTTTTAGATAACATAAAGCATTCAATTGGTAAAATACTCAACTAATAATCAAAGATTTTAATTCAATAATTTTTCAATAAATAAACTATTTTTATTCTTTACTACTATTTTATTAGTGCAACATTTGATTTTATTGTGTTGCAAAGTTTTTTCATGTGAGACAATTGAAAAAATAACAGAAAAAATAAATTACAACTAATAATTATAAATAAGAAAACAACAATTTATATAATATATTATAGATGTATTTTTATAGTTAATTTCTGAAAATTGTTTGAAAAAACTTAATGAAAACATTGAATTATAAATAGTAGTAAATAAAAATATATTATTCTTCAAAAGTAAAAATTATATCTCAAAAAAGTTTTTTAAAAAATATATTTTATTCAGAATGTTCTGATAAATATTCTTTTTTTTCAGGGTACAAGTACCAAGTATTCACCTCAACGAGTAGGATTGCAACATGTTATGCATGATGAGGATGTTATTCAAATAGTTAAAAAATAAAATTTATCTAATTATATAAATGATTTGTGAAAATTTAAATGACAAAAGTAGAACATTATATAGTTTTGTTTATATGTTTTATATGTATTTGCTGAAAAATAAGATTGTCTTTTAAATATTTCAACTCCTAGATTTATCTTATTTAGTATAAATATGAAACATTTATACTATACATTTCTAAATATTTTAAAAATCAGAATTGTTTAAATGCAACTTTTAATAAATATGATTTATATAAAAATAATCGTAAAAGTTAATTTCTTATAGTTCTATGATGATCATATACTAGCTATTTGTTAAAGATATGTTTTGAAAAACATTGTTTTACATGTATTTAAATACATGTAAAAAAAAAATATCTTTATATAAAAAATAATAAATAGGTATATGAATCAACTTGATCAATATTTACTGCAGCCTAACAAAAATACTTGACTGTGCATAATAAATAAATAAAATTACTACATAAAATATTTATTTTTGTTTTTTATTGAATTTTATATAGTTAATAATAAGAATATGTAATTTATAAATTGATTCTGAAATGCATAAATATTTTGTATTTCGAATAATTTAAAAATTTATGAACTTCTAAACAATTACTAGATATTTTAAATATTAAAGTACGACTATGATTACAAAAATATCTAAGAATTTGAATATTTATACATTAATAATCATTTTACATGAAGATCTATCTTATAGTTTTATAGTTCCACCTCAATGTTAATCGTTCATTACACAACTGCCTTAAAAGTTAGTTATTCGACGAACATATTTGACCTTCGATAAACTTGACAGTAGACACCTCAACTAACAATTAAACACAAGGTAGACGATACAGTGGAAAATGGATTTCATTCTTGTTTTGTTATGATTTCGTTTAAAAGTACAACAGCCGCCGACAAAAGAACGTTATAAGAAAGCGTTGTCGACACTTAAAAGCAACGTCGTCTTGAATGTAACATGGTTTGATTCTCAAAAACGATTTATTAGAAAAGTTTATCCGTCCACGGATCCTAAATACAAAAAACGTTAAAGGGGCGGTCAGTGCATAGAGGTTTACCTGCAGTATGCTTAGGGTTTGCAATACAGAGATATTATGGCTGCAGGTGAGACCAGCACAACAAAGTCTCGTCAAGAAAAACAATACGATTACCTACTCAAATTTTTGCTCGTGGGTGATAGTGATGTTGGAAAACAAGAAATCTTGAGTGGACTTGAAGATGGTGCTGCCGAATCTCCGTTTTGCAGCGGCAGTGGTATTCTTTAATTTTTCTTATGGTTATTTTATTTTGAAATATCTTCTCTATTTCTTCCCAATTTTACATTGTTTGTATTGTTTTCATCACTTTGCTTAGTACGTTAGTAGTACATAACCAACATTATAAGGTATAATGATACTCGCTTATCTGTAATAAATTTGTGATTAAGTCATGCTAATTAATTAATAAGGTAGGTACTCAAAAAATCATTTAGTTGTTCATTTCTGATTTATTACTGTTTATAATAAAATTATAATAAAATATATATTTCATATTATTTATTTCATACAACAAATTTAAAATTTATTGCTTAAAACCATTCATGAAATAGTAAATTTTCAAATTTATATAAGAAATTTTAAAATCAAATTTTAAAAAATGATGTAGCAATTGAATAAGTATCATTGTATTTTGTTTATTTACTTTAATTACATAATTTTATAAAAAGTCTTTTATTCTTAATAAAATATTTATAATAATTATGTCTTTCTGTTTTCAAGTATTCAATGATTAATAATCAATTTTCAGTGTAATTTATGTATAGTATATCATTAATTATAAATTTTCTGTAACATATTTTTTTATGAAACTACTTTTGTTATTTGAAAAAATGAAGCTTTTAAATTCAATAATTTCATTTTACATGTTTGTTAATATGTCATATAAATTATGTGTATATTTATTTTTGATAGATAATAAGAAAATACATATTTTCTAGCATATAAAACTACTACTATCTTACTGGATGGAAAAAGAGTAAAATTACAATTATGGGACACATCAGGTCAAGGTAGATTTTGTACAATAATCAGATCTTATTCTCGTGGGGCTCAAGGTATATTTTTAGTCTATGACATTACCAATAAATGGTCTTTTGATGGCATTGATAGATGGTTAAAGGAAGTTGAAGAGGTATATAAAAATTGTCTTAAACATTAGTTTCATGTTATGTCTATAACACGTATAACTAGAACTAAAGTTGTAATTATACATTAGTTCTATGTTAAAAATAATTTTATATTACAATTGTTATTTTTTCATGTTGACTCATTGAATTAATTTTTTTAACATAAATTAGATATATTAGTATTTTATTTTTTGTTTAAATATTGTAGCATGCTCCTGGAGTACCAAAAGTACTTGTTGGCAATCGTCTTCATCTAGCTTTTAAAAGACAAGTAGGAGAACGTGATGCTGAAGCATATGCAGCTAAAAATCATATGGCATTTTTTGAAGTTTCACCTCTCTGTGATTTTAATATTCGCGAAAGCTTTTCTGAACTTTCTCGAATGGCTTTACACCGTAATGGTATGGAAAGATTGTGGCGATCTAATAAAGGTAATATACTTTGACTTTGCTATAATAATTTTAAAAAATCTGATATGAATACCATCTCATCTTTTAGTTCTCAGTCTTCAAGAACTTGCATGTCGTGCAATAGTAGCAAGAACAACAGTTTATGGTATTGATCAACTTCCATTACCTAAATCCATTAAATCTCATTTGAAATCTTATGCAATGACAACTACATCTCAGTTGCGTTATAATGGAAATAGATCATTGAGCTCTAGTAAAAGTCTAGGTTCTCATCATAGAAAATTACGTTTTGTCGGTGTAGGTCATAATGGACTATCGACGCCAGGTAGTTCACCTGGTAGTATAACAGATTCTCGTACCAGTTGTGTTGGTCGCAATTCTTGCACAATATCTTGAGAATAATTTTATGGTCATAACTGTAAATATACAATACTAATTCTTCCTTCCTGTTTTGATGTAAAAAGTTTTGTTAACATGTGCCATCAGAAATTATAAAGAATTAAAAATCTTTTCAAATAAGTAGTTATAGCATGAAATACTAGTAATAAAATGATTTACTTACAATCAACATATACAAATAATTCTAACTCTTTTACATTTAATTTAATAGTTATTTAACATTAAATTTCTTTTTACGTTATATTTTTTAAATTTTTATATGAATTTTTATATAAACAGAATAACAATGAGCTTAAAACGAATTAACTTCAAGTAATGATTTTGCATATATAAAAAATTGTTTAATAATATGTAAAATAGTACTATACAAAATACTATAAAATTTTATCATTGAAAAAATTATGAATTTTATTAGAATACATTAACAGAAGAATACATTAATAAAATCATACAATGAATTCAAATTATGTAAATCCTTCACTAAATTTTTTTTTTTTTTTCAAGTTTTGATGGGCAATGTTTTTTAAAACAAATCTATATTAAAGCAGGAAATGCTAAAGCAAAAAGTACAAGTTCACTATGTCTACAAAGGTTGTGGTGTAGACTAGGAATAATGTAAGTTGAATAGTTTAGAGCAGCTAATTGGATAATAATATATAAGAACAAACTTTGAAATATGTACTAATATATAAAGTTATTCAAAATTTTATTAACTTTTGTATTCTAATGTCCAGTAATAATGTATAAGAACATGTGTCTTATTGTATTATCTTTAAAATTGTATTTCAGTAAAAGTAATTGAAATTTCGTATTAAATATTTAATTTTTCTTTCTATTGTTTTTTTCTTTTAAAAATTTTATTTATTATATAAAATTGAAATACGTTTTTCATAATAATATAAATATCACATCTTATTTAAATAACTTAATATAATTATACATTATTTTATTTGTACAGTATAAGTTTATAAAAACTATCTTGTGTATTATGTAAATATAAAATGAATCATTGACACTGCAATCATATTTTGATAAATTTCATTACAATAGATTTCTATGATCTCATAATATTAGTAATAAAATAATAGCATCCCTAATTTAAAAGTTTTTTTTTTTATTTTTTATTTCTAGTATCTATTTAGAATTTTGATGAGAAATAATAATTATTATAATTAAACCATAGAACTCTGATGTATGAAATTTATCAAACTGTGATAATAATTTATATGATAGCTTTTTTAAAGATTATATAATATCAAGAAAACACATAAGATGTATTTATACTGTGTAAAATTCAAATTAAATTATATGTATATATAAAAACAGCTATTATTAATTAATATGTTTTATATAAACTTAAATGAACTTATTTGTTAGGAGGAATATATTAATATACATTATGATACTTAAAAATATTTAGGTATCATTTTTTCAAAAGTATTTTAATTATGATTATCTTTTCTATTCATTTATTTCTCATTAAGACTCCTTTTAATTATTCACAAGCAGATTATAGTAAACAAAAAGTATACGGTATCTTGTGAAGAAAAAAAGGACATTAATTTCATCATTGCTGTATATATGTCACTGTAAAATAAAGTTTTCACAAAAACTGAAATTTAAAAATAATAGAGGGCCAGTTGAATCATTGAAAACAAGTAAAAAGCTATTTTATCACTGGTTAATTATTAGGCAAAACTTGTTTATGTTTAGGTTCAATAAATAATTTTGTTACACAAAATAATAATATTAATATGAGATTATTTCTATTAAATATATACATATTCAATATATGAAATATATACATGAAGCAATTTATATAATTTATAATTAGATATTTGATAAATTATTATACTTTAATATCTTTCTGTAATATAAAGTATATTATAAATGGAAGTAAGAAATTTGTTTAAATTTATTAATAATCATAGCAATAGTAATTATTTTTAAAAAACATTGATGCGCTTATAGTTCTCCAAAAAATAAAAGGAACATAAATCATTTGATATATAACTGCACTATGTGATATATAACAATACTTTGAAATTGCATTAAGTTAATGTAATATTATGCAAATTTTGTTTCTAGTAGTATAAAAATTTTGTATTATACTAAGTGAATACAATTATACTATACAAGTATGACAATTTAAAAATCAAATTATAATTAAAATTTTGAATTTTATCTATTTAGAATCATATAATATTATATTTTATTATATTGTTTCCATATGTGTATAATATGATATAAGCATAAAAATCTATTTTATAAACTTTAGATATTTATCATATAATATGCAAAATAAAAACTATATACTGTATGTAAGTGCAAGATTTTGATAATATATTAGTGTTTTAATTTTAATTTTATGTTTAATTATAAGAAGACTTTTAATTTTAATGAATATATTGTATCTTATTTAATAAAAATGAAGTTTATAAATTCTTTTCTCACTTACACATAAGTTAAACATTATGTTATGTGTAATAATTTATTTACAGATATTTTCTGAAAACACATTATACATCAAATTTTGAATATATATATAGATATTAACTTTTTTTTAACAACTTTATTAAGCATTTATATTTTAGTGCAGTAAAATTTAAAAAAAAATGAAATAAAACTGTTTTATTGTTATTATGCATTTGATTATCATTACACGGAGTATATTATTAGAAAATATTCAATTGTTTGATAAAAGACTAATGCAATCTAAATTTATTTCAATTATCTATTTTTATATTTTTCAATTTTTATTATATAAACTTTGCAGATAGATTTTATCAACGTTTATTGAAGAAATATATTCATATAATTAAAAGAAAAATCAGAAATGACAACAATTGATGATATATCAACAACTAAAAACAGTGCTTGCCTTCCTTCTAGTAAAAGGAATTTCGTTGTTCCTCAGCAGCTATGGGAAGCAAATGAATTGTTAATGTCAATTAATAGAAGATTGGAAGATTGTGCTTTAGAATGGCAGGCGGAGATTTCGCGCAAACAATGGAAAATTTTTAATTCTAATGTCATTGGAATAACTTTATCTGAACGATCTCTATTATCAAGAACATATTTTACTGAGAAAAATCTTGACGAAACTTTTCAACATTTACTTTCTTGTAATAAAATCTTTTCAGAATATTTAAAAAATTTCATTGGCAAGTAAATTAAATATAAATGTTCATACTTATAATGATAATAATATATATTATAGCACATACTATTATAATAATTTACTATTAGATCTTTTACAAGATGAAGTATCTGTTTCAAATATCAAAGAAACACGTGATGTACAAAATCAATCTTATAATATACAAACAAATTGCAAAGTATTAAATATTGCTAATACAGAAACAATGCAATTTTCTTGTTTAAACAATCAACATTTAAATGGAGAAGGAAGAATTCAAGATTATATTGATAACATATTAACAATTCAAAATTCATTTACTGATGTGATAAAAGCTAAACTTAATTTTGATACAAAATTTTTAGGTTTTGAAGCTATATTACATAAAGCTACGTCTACATCAGCTGATACAGTTTGTCTTTGTCAATATTGTTCTAATATTATGGTAAATATATTTCATTTTACATTACATTTAATTATTATTATTATTATTACATTTGTCCAATTCTATATTTTAGCAGACTAAAACTCATGGTACAAATAGAAAATTAAGAAGTGTAACTGTTAATCAAAGAAATCGAACACTTACCAAAACTAAGCGTTTAACATTATTTAAAAAAAGAAAAAGAGAAAAATCATCTATAATAGTTGATGAAGTCAATGATCAACCATTACCTGGACCAGATACAAATTTTTGTTAATTCATTTTTAATATTCTATTTATTTTCATTTAGTTATTAAATTTCTGTTAACTTTTGTGGATATTAAGAACTGAAACTGAATATTAATATATAAATACAAAGAAATAATTAACGTGATTTAATGGTGGAGTTCCTTTATTATATCTTACATTATTGTTAGAACATTTCATTCTAATGTTAAAATTTTCCAGAATGGGTAAGTAATTACTCAAGCTATCCACTATTTCTTGTTTTGGAAGAGATTTTATTAACTTCTAAGTAAAGCATTGGAAAATTTAAACATTGAACATCAGTTGAATATCATCATCATTGAATATCAGTTTTATACATGTTTTAATTTATTTGTAATTTTGTTTTTACATTGAAAATATCATATAATAGCTTTAATAGATATATTATATTTAATAAGCAATTTACAATACAACAAGAATCTACACATTTTTATGTTTAATTTTGTAATGATGAATTGATACTTTATCATTTTTTTAAATATTGGAGTAATTACAATATACATGAATTCAGAAAAAGCATTAAATTCTACTTCTTGCAACAAATGTTATTAATGTTATGTAAATATTATTTTATTAAACATGTACACAAGTATTTAAAATTCTACTTTTTAAATATTTACCACAATACACTATTAATTGTCAATATTATTTTGTCTTACTTACTATAATGCTAATTTGGAAGAAAATATATTGTACAAGAAAAGTCAATCGTTTGTTTTCAAACGTGTATTACATAAAAAACGTTACAATAATCAATTAAATAAGATGTATGAGTTTGTATATTACATTTTCCAGATTTTGTAAATTTATATTTGAAACCATATTTAAAAAGAACACCATTTATAGAAGTAACAATTCACTAATAAAAATTTATACTGAATAATAAGATGTTACTTTTTAATTATATTTAGTTAGAAATGTATTAATCAATACAATAAAGATATTTTAGTACAAGTTATACATAACATTTAAATATTTTATGTTGGAGTAAATATGTCTCTCTTCTACATTCTAAGTAATGAATAAATCTAAACTCTAAGTAGCAGATGAATTTTACTATTTTGGTAACATTACAATCCCTTTTAATGATTGTTAAAAGAATAAATTTTATATTTTTAAAAAGAGATTCAAAATTCATAATTTTTAGTCTTCAATAATTTACTGAATAAATACATCAGTTTAAATTATACTAATCAATGTAGTGAATCATCATAATGTTCTATGCCTATAACAAATTCAATATTTCATTAACATTACATTACGATTTCTATAAACAGTCAACTTGTATCAAATTTCTTCTTCTATTAATATTATGATTATTCATAAAAGGTTTTTTGTTTAATTGATTCATTAAAATTTGACCACTTCAGGGGAATCTTATGAGGAAAGGTTTCCTTAATTGTACTGGATATACAAAAGTTGTTTAGTAAACCAACTGACTTGTACAAATAAAAAAAAATCCTTCCTGACAACATTCTCCTTAGATGGAACACTTAATCTGGGTTTACCATTTATTTAATTTGTATCATGCTGATACAAAAGAACAATACCAGCATGAAATTTTGACATCTTAAGTTAATATTAAAATTACTTTCATGTTCCAGTTTGATTTCTTTTTTACTACATTCACGCCAATTCATTCAGTCACTATCGTTCTTTCAATTTATGCAGACAGATCTCATAAATATCTGTATGAGTAATATAGAATAAGTAAACCTTAAATTTCTACAAACTCATGCAGTCATTAATCATATAATAAGTAAACCAAATATAATTAAATTCTTACTTTTAATGCATTGAGATTTTTTTTATCCCATTTTCTTGAACATATGTGTTATTCATTAAACTTAAACAAAAATACAAATACCCTACTCACAGAAAAGGGTAAATTTTAATTATATATAATGCTAATAAACAATATTACAGTCTTATAACAGATAAAAATACCAAATAATTAACAACATTTAATTGACAAAAAACATCAATTAATTTATTTCGGTAAAACATCTTACAATGAATATTAATAATAATTAATTTATAATCAAGCGTATCAATGACTGCAATCCTTGTCACTTTTTCAATTATAACTTTTCTTTTATGACATGTCTAATGATTATATAAAGTAAATATATAATATGCACCATTCATTATGTACTATTAAAAAATAAAAAAAAAAAATAATAAAAAAAGACAAAAAGAAAGAAAAACTAAGAAATATTTTAATAAAGTAGTTAATTCTTCCAAGTACCTTACTTTTAACATAAACAATTTAAAAATTATTGTTTGTTCAAATTGAATTAAACTACTTCAAAGATTGATTTTTATGAGATCTGTATGCTAGGAGAAGCGAGATATAAACTTGGAGAGATAACTGAGTGAAAGTCATTGATTTCACCTGAATTCATAGATTTGTATGCTATGTTCTGGGACGTGCTTTAAATTTAAAGATTGATACCTGAAATCAGAAAACCTTTTAATATTTTTATAAAGTGTAAGTGCACATAATGAACAAATATGAAAAGAATACAATAGTAATATAGTTTTATAAATATGACATATAATCTACAAAATTTAATAATTTTTTAATGCAATAGAAATTATGAAAGAGAAATTAAACTGTTTTACAATAAATGAACATTTCATTTTATAAGTAAGACTTGTAGAAAATAAAATTTAAAAATACATTTCTTTATATTATGTAAATGTATAAAAAAAATTACCATTCGGAACTACGATGATAATAAAAGCCTTCAATAGTAGCAGCAGATTTTTGAAAGCAAATATAATAAAATCCTGCGAATGAGGCACCGTTTATATCTTTAATAGTATGATCAGGAACCAAAAAATGTTCCTTCCACCTCATAAAAACAAAATCAGTTCCTTTCAAAGCTTCATAATCAAATGTGTCTGAATTAAATGTTTTAGCATATTGACGAAATGATTCAAATTTACTCTGTAATTTGAAAAACAACAAAATTATAATAAATAGTCATTAAAATAAGGAAAATATATAATAAAATACAAACCCAATGTTTCCTATCAACATCTTCATCTGCATCCCATTTACGAGTTAGAAATGGATATTTCTTTGATATAATTTCACCATCAAAAAATGTAGTCAAAGTGGGAAATTCCTCTGTAAGCCCTTTAATTTTTAAGTAGCCACATAAATAACTATTCTCTTCATCTACGTGCTGTAATATAAAAATATGATTTTTTATTTGTTTAAAAAAAAGTAGATTGGAAAAATTAATATTTTTAAACATACAGTATAAAATTATCCAATTTAAAATTATTCTACATACAACTTAACTAAAATTTTAAATACAAATCAATATCTGTTACTTGAATACTATTTACAAATTATTGTTTCATTATTATCTTTTTCATAAATTCATTATAATAAAATAATGTTATGTTATAATTGAAATTAAAATTCTAAATTGCAAAGATATTCATAAATTAATTAAAAAGTAGGAGAAAAATTTCTAAAAATTTTCTAACAGATCTTTTAAAATCCTGAACTATTTAAAAGAATAAACAATATAATTCATTGATTTTAATTCGAAAAAATTATAAAATATTCAAAAGATAAAAGACATGATCAATCATTACGCAGTAGACAGATGTCAAAGGTGCAATAGAAATTTGGGATATTTATGGCGCAATTTCCAGCAAGATGAAGAACTAACCTGCAAAACTACTTCTACGTCGTAACTATTGCCTTTAGATTTTTGAGAACCTTGAAATCGCGAACCGTTGTAAAGCAAAGATTTTGTGACACCCGGCTGCTTTGAGTTTGCGGGCGGTGGTGGTACTACGTCAACTTTCACCGGCATTCTCGGCTCAAGTGAACGCTCTTAAAATTTGCCCTCCTTGGGCGACAATTCCTTCATCACAAAATTCTCGCAATGACTGCCGGTAATTTTCAGGACGTAGATGTATTTATACAAAGCCTCGAACCCAGACACACTCGCAGTTATAATTTTTACGCAAAAATTGAGTTCGATGGATGTTACAAAAAGCTTATTTTTTTGTATAAATATGCAATTTTTATTATTTTTAACAAATATTGAGAATAATTTCGTTACTAAAACAAAAAACAATAATTTCACTTGTTTCGTTAACTTACACGTATCATGTCCCACAAAATTTTAGTTCTATATTACCGGATGTAGATGTACATGTTACTTACCAACAGTTTAAATATTAAATTTCTTTTATTCTTTCGAATTTTATATTTGTATTATTAGTTTAACTAGTATTATTTTGCTATTACCTTATAAAATATATACATTAGAATTTTTATTTTAAAGAAACACAACGAAAATATTATTTAATTTATTTTTTTGTAAATATTGATGTTAATCTACTTTCCCGCCATAAAGTGATAATTGTAATAATAACATTACGTACCAAATTGTAACAAAATGTATTATTGATTGGAACAAAAGATTTAAGTTTAGTTTGAAAAGGTATTATAATATAATATTTATTTTGATAAACTTAATATTAAGACATTGATTTGATTATGTGACGAAACATATAAGTTAAAAGTTGCTTGAGTTTCAAAGCAAATATGGAGGATTTCAGTGACACGTATTCGCACGAAATGACAGAAAATCATGTTGAAAAACAATATAACAATCAGTGGGTTCGATTAAATATTGGTGGTACATATTTTTTAACAACAAGAACTACTTTAGCTAGAGACCCTAATTCATTTCTGTTCCGATTGTGTCATGAAGAATCTGATCTGATCTCTGAAAAGGTTAGTTAATGTTTTTAAATAACTGTGAGCATTGTCAAACATTATTAAAGTTCTTATACATTATATATATGTGTATATATATATACACATGTATACATATATACACATATTATATATATACACGCACACACCGCGCGCGCGCGCATTTACTATTATATATAGTATATATATATATATATTACTAATATTTTTGTAATTAATAAGAATGATGTATTATATAAATCAACTTTGATATTTTTATAAACCTTTTATTTTTAACAGATATATGATTCTGAATCTGGTATAGCAAATTTTCTTACTTTTTAAAAATTGCAGAAATTTATATGAATAGTAGATATTTATATGATGCATAGTATGAAAAAGTAGCATAAAATGAAGTACCTGTTATACTTTTTCTATCAAAAAAAAAATTAAATGAAAAAAGTTTTGGACTCTACCAAAAATTTTAATTGAATTTTATGCAATGAAAAAATGACAATCCTTTATTAAATAAATTATTTTTGTTCAAAGGGAAATAAAACTTTTTAAATATATCATGTTAATCATTTTTACTCTGAAAGTAAAGGTAAAACCACATACATATTTAAAAGTATGTAAAATTGAGTAATATCATAAAATCTTTATTTCTATTAATTTAGTATCAAGTAACCTGGGAATAGTGGATATTGCAATATTCGCATACACAGTGGATTCATAGTCAAATGTAATAGTTAATTCATCGTTTTAAATACATGAAAAGTGAAATAAAAATATATATTCATAAAACCTATTTTTATTCATTTTCTTTGCAATTATTACAAACAGATAAATATGTGCATCCAACTATTATGTGTTGCAAGACCTAGTGTCCACCAGTAAAAGGTTAAATAAGCTATTTTAATAAGTTTTGACAAATATTAACTTATATTAAGATGTAAATTATTTATTTAGCTTATACAATTTATTTCGACTATTTAGAAACATTCTTTATAGACTTATTTTGATTTATATTTTATTTTATATTAATTTTTTATAAACATATTAGTATAATATAATATAATACTAATTTATTTATCAACTCTTTATTCACATATAACAATTTGTGTATTGTGTATGAAATTTGTGTATGAAAATACATATAATTTAACATTTCTTTTCAATGATTAAAAAACTAAATAAAAATTAAAAGATCTACATTATTTTAAATACAAGATAGAATTAAGTACCTAATTTTGTTTTGTACTAAAGTACATGATCTTGTATTATACAATGGGATAGATACTGGGTAATGTATTAAATGTTACGTATTTACATTTTAATATAAGACTAAAGTCAGGAAAAACATCAAAATACTATGTAAGGATTATAGAATACAATACTATAATAGATTCTTAAAATTTTGAGAAAAAGATATTATCAATTAATAAACCAAGATATTGTAATTTTTACACTCAAGATTTTGTTAGATATTTTGTAGGGAAAAGCACATTCACTTCAGATCCTTCAAATGTATTGAATGCATATTGTTACACTTACCATAGGAAATTCTGATGTTTAATTTTATCTGAATTTTACTTACACTATTTTAAGATAATTGCACACTAATAATACATAATATAATATGAATAATAGTATGATTGTAATTTTGTATAAAAACATATATTGTTTAAAAAAAAAATTTCGTTAGATACATCATTTTGTTTGTATGTTTTATTCTACAGGATAAAACTGGAGCATATTTAATAGACCGTGATCCAACATATTTTAGCCCTGTCTTAAATTACTTACGTCATGGAAAATTAATTATCAATAAAGATTTAACAGAAGAAGGTGTATTAGAAGAAGCAGAATTTTATAACATTACAGAACTTATTCGACTAGTTAAAGAAAGAATTAAATTAAGAGATACCAGATCATTAAGAGATTCTAAAAATCATGTTTATAGAGTCATTCAGTGTCATGAGGATGAATTAACTCAGATGATATCAACAATGTCTGATGGGTGGAAATTTAAACAGGTATCTTCTATATTTTAAATTAAATATGAAAATTTTATTTAATATTTTATTTTCTTCAATACAAATAATTTATTATTTGATTGAAGTTATTGAAATAACTTTTATTTTTAAAATTGATTATATTTCACTTTTATCTGTTTTAGTTAATCAACATAGGATCTCAATATAATTATGGAAATAATGATCATGCTGAATTTCTGTGCGTGGTTAGTCGAGAATATGGGGCCAGTCAACTTAATAGCAAAGAACAAGAATCAACAGATCGTGTAAAGGTACTATTATTGCATTCAAATTTTTTACATTACTCTTTTAACTAAAGCAAGTATATAGACGATTTTATAATTTTAATAAATAATTATATTATTTTGGTTATATTTTATGTTTATGTCATAATTTTCACATGAAATCGTATTACTAATGTTAATACATGTTACAGTAATAAGTTTATATTTTGATATCAAAGATATAATTAATAAAATATTAAAATTTAATTAAAATATACAATTTTACTGTTTGACAAAAAAGATTTATAGATGGAAAATTTCAGCAAATTTATATAAATGTGTGAGTAGATTACAGATATCATCTTTTTTCTTTTTTTTTTTTCTTTGCTAGCTCACACAAATATTTCATGTTTAAGTTCTCTAATGATACATTTATATGTTATTATTATATGAGATTATATAATTTTATTTATTGTATTTTGTATTAAATTAATTTACACATCTACATTCCTGTACATATTCCTGTTTATTTTTTCATATTCTTCGATCTATTATAATAAAAATTAGAAAGAAAATTAAATAGAAAAATAGATAGTTTTTTCCTCAAAGTATTAGGTTGTACTACATGATTTGAGCCACATATGTTCATCTAATTCAGTACTCTGCTTTATTGCTGTAAATAAATCTGAATCATTTTTTATTCTCTTTATATAAGTTTTGTACATATTTACGATTTAAAATATTTTTTACTTAAAAATTTGATATAAATATGATTGTATATAAATATATTTATGTAAATAATTTTCTTGATTATAAATGAATTGAATGAACTGAAGAAATAACTATTATTTAAATAAATTGAATTACATTTATTTTTCATATCTAAATAGGAGGATACTTATTAAAAATCCTAGGAAAATCTTAAGATTGTTGAACATATATGTACATTATATTTTTAAGCATTTTACACATTTTTGAATTTCTATCTATAAATCTTTCACAGTATATATTATAAATATTTTTTATGATGCAAGATAATATAAAAGTGTCTTTTGATTAGTATTAAATGTATTACATTTGTATTAAATGTATTACATATAAACTATTACATTTTATACAACAAATAAACATTGTTTTTGTTTTATTTAAAAATTAAAAATATTTCTATTTTTAGTTTTTTTATGACTTTTGTAATTTAAATTATAGTATAACATTATCAAGAATTAATTATTTCTTATAAAAATATTTTATACCAATTCAGTGGCTAATTTGCATGAGCATGTTTTGCCTCTGATATTATTGTATGTATTATATCACAATTTTTGTATTGCATGCTGTACATTAAATAAAAATTTTTTCTTTTATTGATTTGGTTACTTTCTACCCTGTTGTCCTGCATCATTTTTTATTGCATGTTCAAATTATTTTTGGTTAAATATAATATTATTAAAATAAAATGTTATTAATGATTAAGTAATTTATAAAACATTCATATGTATATCATTTAGATACTATTATTTTATTATTATTTATTATTATTGTCAATGTTCTTTGATGAAAATATAAAATTATTTCTAATAATGTTATGTTTAATTTATACAATATGCAGAGGTTGGACAATGCTAAAAATATCTAACATTCAAATCTTATTTACTAAAATCTTATGTAATAAATTAATCATGTTTATATTTTCCTTTACAAAATTAAATTTTTAATATAAATTTTTTACTGTAACTCTACTAAAGTTCAATCGTTAAATTGTATTTTAGGTTCTGCAGCAGAAGGGTTCTCGTATGTAATCTCTGAATCCGTCCTTTTCTTTTTTTACTTCGTTTAATTAAATCAACTGTGCAGCAACAAGATGAAGACTGTTTTTAGTTCTACACATAAAAGTATAAGTTCATGCAAAATTTTTATTATTACATTTTTTTGTGTACAGTGGCAATACAAAGAAAAAAGAAATACAAAGGTATAATACCTTTTGTAGATATGTATTTATTATGCAACAGCACAAAATGAAGCTTTA